GATGGATCGGCTACAAAGTAACAACACTTGGTCAGCACCTCCTAATGAACATTCATGCTATGTTTTGTTTCATTCCATTCAGTGGTTCTCTAAAAGAAGTCATTTGTATGCCTTTCCCATAGGGTCCTATGTTAAACTATGTCCCTCGCTGGCGGCCATCTTGGATTATGGATCGGCTTCAAAGTAACAACACTCGGTCAGCACCTCATAAGAAACATTCATGCCATGTTTGGTTTCATTCCATTCAGTGGTTCTCTAAAAGAAGTCATTTGTATGCATTTCCCATAGGGTCCTATGTTAAACTAAGTCCCCCGCTGGCGGCCATCTTGGATGATGGATCGGCTACAAAGTAACAACACTTGGTCAGCACCTCATAAGGAACATTCATGCCATGTTTGGTTTCATTCCATTCAGTGGTTCTCTAGAAGAAGTTCAAAATGTAAAAAGTTTACGCCGACGACGGACGACGACGGACGACGCCGGACGACGCCGGACGACGGACGACGGACGCCAAGTGATGAGAAAAGCTCACTTGGCCCTTCGGGCCAGGTGAGCTAAAAAAGTTCATCGGAAGATACCAAGACCTTGTTGATAAATATTCCGTATCAACTTCACAAATAATACATGATGGTCTTGAAATATAGATTCTAGGTGCTGACGTTGTTTATTATCTTAATTACGTGTTATAGTGTTTTTATTTGTCTTTGTATATTTTTAACCTTTACTGTTTAGTCCAGTTTTAAGAATGTACTTATGGCGTGGTTCGGTATTTATACATCCCATGTGTTATTGTGCTGTGGTCAATTTTTTTATTCTTGTCTTCCATTTTTGCTTATGTATTTTGTCTATAGAATGTCTATATGCTATTTTGTTTTTCTTTGTTGAAATAGTTATTTGTTTTTATAGTGGTTAAGATTATAACACAATGTTAACTGCTGTACCCCAATTTTTGACAGTTTTAACTATTATGTCTTGTTTGTTTTGCTCACACATTGTTGTCAATATAAGTAGATTTACTGAACCTTTCAAAGTTAAATATATTATTGAAGGTTTTTTCTTATCTCGAACCAGAACAACGATTTGTCACATTTGAAATGTTTTAACTGTTTCTTGATTAAACATCATTTTCCAAATGACTTAAAGGGTTACTTCATGCATTTCACTTTTATATAGAATAAAATCTATTGCCTTGTCGTTAATACATTTTTACTCTTTACTGTTATAAGTACAGAGGCTATATTCTTTAGGTTTAGGGCTACTTGCAAGAATTTTTATAGTGTTTGCTGTGGAAAGGTTGGAAGAGAAGTATGAATAATTTTCATACTTTAGTATAATGTGGACAAAACAATTCTTGATATAGCACTATGGCAGACAGTTGCATGATTTTCTGCAGTTCTTCAGAAAAAAAATTCTAGTGGATTAAATGCGTAAGTTAATGACATTGGGTCTCTGAATTTGCATAACAATTTCTTTTACGTTGCAATTTCATATTTTAATCAAACAATGTTCACTGTTTAATGTATACATTTTTGAAACAGAAGAAATATTCTTCTAATAAATTGTATCGATTATCCTATGTAGAACGTGGTACCAATAGATAGACATGAAACTGTGATCTTTGTCTCCCAAAAATGACCTATTATGGTTTATTGGGTGCATTTTTAAGTTCAAACGTATTTATACTATTTTCTCTTCTGATGATTGCTCATTGATTTCGAATACAATTATGACACTGAAAATAAAATAGTTGTAGGCTGGCATAGAGTAATTTGCATTTCCATAACCTTACCATAAAGTTTTTATCATAATGTCCAATAACATTAACGGTACCGAATTAGATGCACATTTCGACAACTGATGTCTTTTCAGTGATGCCCGAGAATCAAAATATTTGAATATCCAAAATCTAATAAATAAAGTTGAAGAGTGTATCATCCCAAAATGGACCTAACGTATAGCAAAATCCGAACAAGCAGTCACGATTTTTCATGAGGGAGATAAATTCCTTTATTCAAAATAATTTCCAAAATTTTATAACAGCAAATTTTAATCAAACATTATCCGTATTTTCATACCAGTACAGTATCCAAAGATAGAAACATTTTCATTTTGTGAGGCATATTCTTTTAATATTTCCCTTTTAGAAGGTGAAAATGTTTTTTGTATCTTCTTTTTTCTTAACATTTGTCACTAATGATTTTATATGTAGAGGATCTTCAAAGGATGATGTAATGTAGTGTAAAGTGTGAAATTTTTGCAACAGATTTATTTTCCCTAATTTCCCGATTAATGTATTCCCTCATATAAAATAATCGAGTTCAAGAAAAAAGTGAAAAGAGAACTATTTATGCTAGAGAGATGCATAGAAAATATACTTTTTCAACAACAAAATATTAAGCAACAATATTTATCAAAATAAAATATACAATTCTATTATTCAAATATACAAATTTCTTATACTGTTGGATGCAAAATAATGGGGTATCAATACTAAATTTTATTGCAGTTTGCACGGGTTGGAACCCCCTTTTATTTGATGATCAATGCTTTTGAACGGGGACATATGGTTGGAACCCCCCTCCCCCTTTATCCTGAGTTGGACCCCCCCCCCCCCCCCCCCCACTTTTAAAAATGGCTGGATCTAACCCTGCATCTTTCAGAAAAAAAATACAGGATCATTTTATGAACTGTAAATCAAAAGTAAAAAGGTAAACTATCAAAGCTATCATTTCTATATGTATCAAACATTTTTTCATTATATTGTAATCAAGATTTGTTTATTGAGCTGTGTAATAAAGTGTCTGCTTAACTATGTAATACTTAAGTTCAGTAATTTTGTCAATGCCATTGGCTTTTAAGAGGATGGGATTTCAATTAAATCTCCTCCTTGTTCAGAACTGTTTTTTTTATCACGGCAGTTGTAAATCATACTGGTATTGTATCAGTACTTTTACCCATATAAAATGACTAAACTAGCCAGCAAATTGTCAAAACTAGACACACATACTTGAATGAACTGCTCAAAAGATACAAACTATATTTTCATTTTATTTGTGCATATGAACATAGACATAAGAATTATTAGGGACTGTTTAAAGAGGTATGTGCCTTATGAAAGAATTGGAACAACAACAGTCCAAAAGAATTTGGGGTCCTCAGGACTCCTCAATGCTCTTTAACTTTGTACTTTATTTGGTCTTATTAACCTTTTTGATTCAAGCCTCACTGATGAGGATTTTTTAGATGAAATGTGTGACTGGTGTCAAAATTGTAATCATGGTATCTATGATGAATTTATACAACTATTCATATTGTCATTTTGAAATAAGTTCTTTGCAGTAAATAAAGGCAACAGTAGTATACCGCTGTTCGAAATTCATAAATCAATTGAGAAAAAAACAAATCCGGGTAACAAACTAAAACTGAGGGAAACACATCAAATATAAGTACAACGACACAACAGAAACACAACATTAAAATGTAACACACACAGAAACGAACTATAATATAACAATGGCCATTTTCCTGACTTGGTACAGGATATTTTAAGAAAAAATGGTGGGTTGAACCTGGTTTTGTGGCTAGCCAAACCTCCCGCTTTTATGGCAATGTTAAATATGACAACATTACATGACAGGACTACAATACAAATAAATGGAAGAACATGCAGGACAGAGAAATACACAAATAAACAAAAACGACAATGCAACACTCACAGAAACAAACTATATGATAACATAATGCATGGTAATTACTCAGTAATTAATCAAATTAACCTGATATAAAAGATGAGACATATAAACAGTTCATGACGAAAAAGATGAGACAATTTACCAAAATTTCTATCAAAGAATAATTTCTGTCAGATGCAAAGTGATGACAAAATCAATTTAGAATATTTTGTCAGACTTTAGCGAGTAACATCTGTTCCATAAGGATTTTGAGGAATTTATTGCCAATGTATGCTATTCCTTATAGAAGGAAGGTATTTATGTCTAAAGCTTATCTTGTTTTTAAGGCCTTAAAGAATAAAATTTATGCAAAACATGTTTCATTTGTAACACTAATTTCTTAGAATAATCTGTTTGCTACTACTGTGACTGGAATGAAACATTTGAATTGTATAGTTCAGTTTATATATTATGTGAATGGACAGACACTAAGGTTGCAAATTCCTAAGGCAAAGTTACCCTGTTGACGTACCTCGTCTTGTTCCTTTTGGAGTTCATGCGATTCCCTCAGTTTCTGATCGTTACCTTGATTTATATCTTCCTTATTGATTTACAAAATTTAAACATCAGTAAACTAATTGGTCCCAAGGGTTTTTAGTATATGGTCATGACCGGAACTGTTGAAAGTTATTCCAGACATGTGTGTTGTGAGCATTAAAATAGGTATTTAACATTTATATTACTATGTACACACTGCCTTCGGAAGCTGAGCTAAACAGGCAATTGTTATTTTCCAAGAACAAGATAGACATATATAGAAACAAGAATGTGTCCATAGTACACGGATGCCCCACTTGCACTATCATTTTCTATGTTCAGTGGACTATGAAATTGGGGTCAAAACTCTAATTTGGCATTACAATTAGAAAGATCATATCATATGGAACATGTGTACTAAGTTTCAAGTCGAACGCACGGCCAAAAAACATAATGCCCCTCTACTATTGAAGGTGGGGCATAAAAATGGGGAATGTGTCCATGGGACACAGATGATTCCCCCACTTCCATATAACGTTATAAAGGGACATAATTCAAGAAGTGACTTTACCAAAATTCATACTTGATTTGAGTTTTGTTGTAAAAAGCATTGTGTATATGTTTCATAACATTTGGTTGAGGCAAACTTAAAGTAGAGAACGGAAACGAAAAAGTCAGCAATTTGTCCATTGAAAAGGGGCATAACTCTAGGCTGTACGGACGACAGGGGTAAAACTTAATGTCCCCTCTGCAAGGGCAGGGGCATAAAAACAGATAAAATATAACATAAAATTTTTATTTTGATATTTTTATTGCATCAAGGTAACCAGGTGTTACATTGAACCAAGATATTGTGCAAATGTATTTATACCTAGATACAAGGATATTTATCGGAAAAAGTTTCTTAATTTCTTCCATTTTTTGGCAGGTTTTTTTTATATTGAATCCTTCATATTTAAACCGATGTCTTTTTTCCAAAAGGAGCTGTCTCAAAAATGATTACCATTATACATCGTAGACTAGTATGAAACACAATGCAATGTGAAAGACACATTGAAATATAATGCATGTTTAACAAAAGATCTATTAAATATACATAAGATAAAATTTAATGAAAATATATGAAATATTGTTATATTTAAGACCCTGTAAAAAGTTTATTATAGATAGATCTGCTTCTGAAATACTTGATTATTAAATAGTAAATAAAAAAATTTCTTTTTAATGAAAAAGCTTTCAATTAAGATTTATCAATCAAAATGCTTGTTTGGTCAACATAAAATTATCAGTAATTTATTATTCAATATATATATATAATAATATTGTGAAAGTTTACAAACTGGTAAATATAGTACCAAAGAGCCTCGTACTGCAGTTGTATCTTTTCCTGAAAATTGACATTAAATTGAAATAAGATAAGAACATACTTCTCCTGCATGTTAGTTTCTAAGAATCAGATAGTTACAAATTCATTCACATATCAAAATTGCATCACATTTTAAAGGAACATTTATTTTGGTAAGATATCAAATTCAAAAACATTTCATATCATCTTAATAGTATATACATAAACAACAGTTTCTATGCAAACAGTGTGACTGGAAAAAGATCCATAACCCTTATTCAAATAAATCTATGATTAATATACAAATGAAATAATGTACTATGTATAACTGACTTTAAATATATAAGTGACAAGTACTTAATAATTTAATTGAAGTTTGTCTTATAAAAGTTAATAAGAAAATGTGGTTATTTACTAAACACAGATATATACATACATTTTATAATCAATGATTAAAATGTCATTCTATTGATATCTACCTTTGAAAAGAATAACAAACCTTCAAATCACAATTAGGAGTGAAAATCAAGCATATTTTTTCATCTGAACTTTATCCAGAGAAAAAAAAATTGTTAATTTAAAGTATTTAATTTGATCAATCTGTATCTTTACAAGCATTTCATCATTTGAATACATACATACTGATAAAATACACAATCATATCGTTAGCATTATCTTAGGATTACAAATTTATTGGGACTTCCAAGGTTCACCGAAACACAAAAAATAATACCAACCCCATGCATACCACTGTATTTGTTGATAGTGCTTAAACCACAGAATAGCCAAAGAAGTGATGCTTTTTCCATAATCCTAGATATCTATAATCAATTTGTTGATGTTTTTGTTATAATAATCATATAAGCATACTTCATTTATAAATACAAAAGTTGATCAGATCATTAACTTACATTTTATCAAAACACTATTTATGAACATAAAAAAACAACTGCCTATCTCACATTTTGAAAGAGATTCTGACTTTTTAATATTTCTGTTCAGGTGTACATTTTGGACATAATGTTGAATTGTAAGTCTTCCCACCTTTACAACCTGTGCTTTACAAAGTATATGTTGATTGGCTTAACACTGTAGGTCAGTGAAGAAGGTAAATAGACTGACAAAACTGAAATCTTATTATCAAGTTAATTGACAACATGTGTTAATGAGGTATCTATTTACATAATTTACACAATATTGAACACATGAGATATGAAATGATGCTTTCTATAAAACAATGTATTATTTCACAATTACAGCAGGATACAAAATTTGACACTCCAACCATACATGACGGCTTGTAATCTGTACTCTTGAAACATTTTTACCATAGTTGTATGTTTGTATTGTAGACAATGTTTTCAAGCTTTCTCCAATCTTCAAAAGCTATCATGCTGATGGGTTTCTACAGCCAGCTCTACCATTTAATCAAATAATAAATGACAAAATCATGCTGCAAGGATATCAATAACTCCTGGTCAATGTTGTCAGTTTTGTAACATTGTTATAACCAGGGATGCCAGGCAGGGTCCATTCTACATAAATTATCATGGCTGTTGGCTGCTGCAACCAATGTACTGACTCTACTTTCTGCTCCTTCAAATGTTGCTAAATCTATAAATAAAGAATGTCATAAATCAGATCTTTTTCTTCATATATAATAGTATATAATAGAAAAAAATAGGATATAGTGTATCAATTCATATCACAATATCATTACACAAAAAAGAAGTAGCTTTTATAGCTTTTCCTTATCTCCAAGTCACAGTGAGGCCTTCCAAGTGAAGCAGAAACTACGCTTAAATGCAAGTTCAAGATGGTCACTAGCATCAGTTTAAGTAAGAGTATTTGCTAGATGTTGACCATGCTTTGTCTGCACTGCTTATATAAACAAGAGTTTACAGATAAAAAATATATGATAAAGATAATGGAATAAACATATTTCTCTAATTCCTCCCCGATTTATCCTTTTCCTGACCTGTTGATTATTTTTATTTAATTTGTGGTTAGTTTGATCTCAGTTCTTCATTGGTAAAATTTTCTTGCTTTCCTCTTAACCCTTACTATGTGGGGTCGTAATATTACTACCCAAAATAGCGTTTTTTTGGCTCCAATTTCTCTCCATACTTTTAGAGATGAACTGAATGGTATGTATTTCGAAATTGATGCATGTTCCCTCAACCTAAGGCTATTTACTGTCATGTTTATCGGATTTAAGCTGCAATTTGAGCCCAAATACGAACTTCGTAAATTGAAATCAGATAAAACTTGTTTTTCTGGAGTGGTGTGCTTCCCTTCAGTGTCTTGGACACACAGTACAGAGGCCTAAAACTTCCAAAAATAGAGTCAACCTGCAGCATATAACTACTGTTCGTGTTTATTATTGAAATACGCTGAGGGAACGACTACTTCCAGTTGCAGGTCCAGGTTAAGCCAAAAATCTGGAAAATCGGAAAAATTCTGTATTTTTGTTGGAAACGACTTATTTTAGACTACCATACTTAGATCAAGTTCACTCCAAACTCAGCACTTTTATGGTCAATATGTTCACTGGGGTCCACTCTACATGCAGACAACGGTAAGACACATCTATCAGCATTCCTCGGTCTTCCAGGTCAAGGAATAGGATGAAGAATATTCAAAATTGACACTTTTTGCACCTGATGACCAACTTTGGAGAAGATTCCCGCCCACCTCTTCACCCCAAACACCCTGCACCGTGTTCCCTATTATAGGTTTATTGGAATCAATAATCAACGGCAGCCGGGTATAGCTCATTTGCTTGGCAAGCCTAGTGTTTTTAATTTTTTGAAAATTGAACTGTCTCGAGTGGAGAAATATCCTATCACACTTGATGCAGTGGTAGAATCTATATTAAAATGATATAAGAAAGACAACATAAAAATATATCCAATAGAGACTACATACTATGAAGTCTGGTTGTAATAGCTGATACTGCTTTATTCACCATGGTAATTAATTGTTCTCCCTCCATATCTGTAGGTTCTGTCCCTGGTTGTAATTCTTCCTGTTTCTGAAAATAGGTTATCGTGACTATAGCATAAAATTTATACAAAGCAGGACTTCCCTAAATATTCCATCCACACTTATGTCTTATTATTCCCAAATATGAGAATAACCATTAATTAACATGCTAAACACCATTTCAATGAATAAAAGTGAAGGTAGGAAAAAATCTGAGGTGAGACTTAAAAATAAATCTTTTTATTCATTTATGAAAGGAAAAAATAAATTATTCTCTATTTTTTAAATAATTGAGTTTCCCAGATTCAATATCTGATTTTCACTCTATCACATCTTATTTGAGTCATTATTTTTCAATTCACAATTTGCATGTGAATAATTTTCTAACTACCTTTTTGTGCCAAGTTATATATTCATCTCTCAAGATAGCTTTTAGAAAACTTGGTAGTTTATATTGTGGTTGCACCAAACATCTAGCTGCTGCAACCATTGATGCTGTAAGGGGTCCTATCACTCCTATTGTTGTAAGGAACTCAGCAATGTTAGGTGTCAATCTGAAAGGAACTGGTCTATTGGCATCAAGCTCTCCTATAATAATAGAAAAGATAATCTTTTTAACTGAATTTTACCAGCATTACCCTGAATAAAGAATTCACCACTTGAAGTTATTTTCATACTATATTGTTAATTGAAAAGAAGACTTTCTAGTTCAAAAATATATGAAAAATATATTTCAGACTAAAAAGCTGTTGTTTGACATATGTTTTACTATGATGATTCCATAAAACAACATGCACATTCTGTTGACCAATCAAATCTTTTATATTTGCATTAAAAATTTTATTTTATTATTGTTTTTTAAATGTTTTCAAATGACATAAGATGAGCTGTCAGTGTATTGTGTTTACCTGTTTGATCATCTATGTCAAATTTGAAGTATGAAATATTGAGGTAACCACAGTCCTGGTGTAAATACATCATATCAGGGTTCATCCTTGTCAGATGGAGTACAAACTCTGCAAATCCCATCAATGCTAGGTGTAGTGTCAACTAAAGAAAATAAAACAGAATAAGATTAACTTTTTGTATGATGTCAAAATTGCTATGTGGCTCTCGATCTAATTCATCAAAAAGTGATTGTGTTTTTAAGTTTGTTAAATGCTAAAAAAAATTGTGTCGAAACAAAATTCAACTATGCTTGCAAATATAGGATGACTAGCAAGGTCATCTTTAGACATGGTAAAATATTTTCATCTTTTGAATTTAATTTTTTCTTTAATTGCCATATAAACACATTTTTTCAGGTAATACATCTTAAAATAACAACAAGTCATCACTGTTCTCATCTTTATTGAAAAGAACAGTTGCTCATCATGCATGTTTGACAATCATAGTTATTTTAATAAAATCTTACTGTTTTTCTAAATGTCCAGTAGTCTGTGGCCGTCAAGAAGGTATGAACTGCCCATTCCTTCAGTAAACCTCTAGGTACCATGTTGTTCTGGACCTCCTTCAATACATCTCTAAGAACCTGATGGCTAGCCTGTGAACCTCTGGCCTGAACTGTTGCTAATCGCTCATAATAACGAGCTATTGGGGAATCATGTTCTATTCCTCTCTTTGCACATCTCTACAAAACAATATTATTTATTTGGTATTTTATAAATCTTATATTAAATTCAAATTAGAGGAATTTTTGCAATGAAGCTTTGGAATGTTATAATGTTATATGTTATTTGGAATCTTAACAGGGGATATGGTCTCATATTCACTGTCAGTGTTTTAAATCCCCTGAGCCTTCTGATGCATGATTATCTTGTACCAGTCTCATCTGTGGTGAAATGGCTACAACTCTTGGTACGGTGAAAAAAAGCAACCTTTTGGACCTTATCTTTTATCCACCTTACAGGGATTTAAACATCATACAGGGACATGGATACTGAATTACCTGTTATGTATTTATTTAAACCATACACACCTACTAGAATATCTATTCATATACATTATACAGGGACATAGATCCTTGGTTACCTGTTTGCTTATAAATACAAATGTCTGATTACCTGTTTGCTTATAAATACAAATGTCTGATTACCTGTTTATATACATCCAACAGAGACACAGATGCAGGATTATCTTCTACCAGTCTCATTTGTGGTGAAATGGCTACAACTCTTGGTACAGTGAAATACAGCAATCTTCTTGATGTTTCCTTCTGTTTAGTCAGGAAATGATTCAGCATTCTAAGTAGCTGTAGAACTCTTTCTTCTCTTCTAGATTCTGTCAAACATGCATCATTCACCACTAAGTATGGATAAATCTGTTCAAAATAGTACAAATAGTTACTATAACAATTACACTTTAGATTTAACTTGCATACTTGTAATGAAATATCACTTCTCTTTCAAACATTTAAAAATTGTATTATAATTTTGACATTACAATTAATCTTTGCTAAAGCATTTTAACTTTCAATCTGACTTTACAATAGAATATGATACAACGTTTTCCAATAAAGATTTACCTTGCCATTATGTCCTCTGATATAAAGTCGTCTGGCGGCAGTGTTGTGTTTCTGTACTATTTCTACACGTGGCATAAATCTGGCTATTCTTACATAGTAATGACTATGCTGTAAACATATGTACAAAAGAATTAATTAATAGTCAGGGAGGAGCAAGATCATCAAAATACAAGACATCATTTCAAACATTAGCAATCCGACTTCTTTACATGTTGACAAATGACTAGTTGTTCCCTACATATAATTCTTTATGTTATAATTGTAAATGTCTGAATCTCTTAAAACTCTTGATTGATATTTTACTTTCAATGCACTTTCTGTTATCTTGTATAGCTTCATGGCAGTAAGTATTATTTCAATCATTAGTTATCAAGGTCATTACAGTAACTTGTTAACAAGGTTTATTAGTTATCAAGGTCATTACAGTAACTTGTTAACAAGGTTGATTAGTTATCAAGGTCATTACAGTAACATGTTAACAAGGTTGATTAGTTATCAAGGTCATTACAGTAACTTGTTAACAAGGTTGATTAGTTATCAAGGTCATTACAGTAACTTGTTAGAATACAGTGGTGTTTTACAACTGCTAATAATTTTTTATGCCACTTTGTTACATGTGATCAATATGTTTAACCTTCTCTTTACCCTAAGGTAACCTTTTTAATCATGTTTTGAAGTTGCTGTCTCATTGACAATTACAGTTATCTCCCATTTCCTTTTATCTATCTCTAAACAGCTACTATTGATGCATTAAAAATAAATTACGAACTTATGTTAAATATCTAGAATTATTTACCTTTGGAAGGAGGAATTCACCAGGTAGCTCTACTTCTGCTGTGTGTTGTGAAAAATTACTTAGAAATCTACATTTTTCTTCAATCAAGAAAGATCTAAAATGTAATGTAAATTCTATCATGTAAAACAATATACATTGTAATTCTACAGAGAGACAGTTTTATACACTATATCATTGATGAGCGTAATTCATAAAATAATAATCTGTGTTTTAAAAAATTATTATTCTAATATCTGAAATGCGTTATTTCTGTTTTTTACATTAAAATCTGGTATATTTTTAGACATTTGGAGAAATAAACCTGATTGCAAATAATGTTCAACACTACATGGTGCAACATAAATTTTTGCATGAAAACTTATATATTGATGTATCTTCAATTTTTCTCTAAAAACCATCAACCTATTTCCTGTAATCCTATTTCACCACAATTGCAATAGAAATAAAACAACTACAACCATGTTTATTTTCTTGAGAAGTTTCTTTTTTTTCTAAGTTAACAACAGCAAGCTGTATTATAGAATTAACTGTGACAGTTCATTTCTCCATTTGATATCAATTCTTACAGATTTCATATTACTAATAATCCAATGAAAAGAATTTTCTTGCTGATTTAAGGAATATTGTGCAAACTCTTGTACATATTTACTGTGAAAAGAACTGGAAACACTAACTTGGCTTAAATTCAAGAAATGAGCATCTAAAGTACTTTCATAGTAAAATAACACTTAATTTAGACTAATGTTTACATTTTATTATAGAATAAATTACACATGTGTAGTATAAGTTAATGCATTCATATAAACAGTACTTACTTTGGAAGAAGTTTTGTTTTTGCTTCCAATATCTTGATCCATTTTTTCAGTTTGTTAATCAAATTGTGCAGTTTTGTAGATCCAGGGACACTGGAAATTAATCAAATTCATGAATATATACAGTATCTGTAGTTTAAAAGGCTTGGTGTTGTGAAAGTAACATCTCTGGTGGAGAGTCGTCTCTTTGGCACTCATACCACATCTTTTTATTTTTATATACAACTATGCATTCTAAGTGCATAATATATATTTAATACCATCACTATCTATTATTTCCAGAAAAGTGTTTTTTATTTGCTAAGTTTTTAAAAGGAGTTCTTATAATGCTTTAAATAGAGGCACTAAGTATTTTTCTTTTGGAAATGGCATCTTTCTCATCTTTTTTAAATTCTACTAAGTTTAGTTTTAATTCTGAGTGTGGAAAGCATGTAGCTGAATACATATGGATATTAAGTTTGTTATTGCAAATTCCATTCATTCATATAAAGATAAATACCTGAAATCAAAGTCAGTAGTGAACTGGCTCTTCATTTTCTGGAATACTGGATCCTGTGCTGTAGCCTGTGCTCTCCTTGCTAAGCTCTCTGAAGCTGCACTTGAAAATGTTGTAGTCACACTTGACACATTTTCTATCCCGACACCAAATGTACTGACTAATTTCTTCACAAAGTTTAATGTATGTGGAGTAATTGTAGCATCAGCAACTATAATGCAAAATATTTTATTCACTTAAAATAGTTTTAACAGATATTTTAAGACTAGTAATTGTTTTTTTAATTTCAGTACAATTTATTGAAAAATTGAATGTTTGTCAACAGTATATTCCTTTCATCCATTGACATGATAAATGCATTAAAATATTATGAAGTGAACTTTGCCATTAAGGGCATACAATACAGTTTTGATCCTACGGTGAATTTTTGACGAAAATTTACATACAAGCTATTTTTCACTATGTCATTTTCAAATATGAAATAAAAAATATACCTTCATGTGCTAATTTTAGAGATAAATGGAATCTAAATTTTGGACATTTATTGGAAATTTCAGTTTCTTGGACATTTCTATCCTTTGGAAAAACATGCCTAACTTTTTTGTTTTAAAGGATAAACGCAAGCAGATTTTTGTAAAAACATTTGGAATATCTTCTCTACATAAATTTGCTTTGAATTTGTGTAATAATTCTTTGGAAATTATTCATTTTTATCACATTTTCCTGGTTTTAGTAAAAAAAACGGCATTCTTGCTGTATATTTATCTAATTGAAAAAAATTTCATCGTTGACTTTTTTTATAAAAATTGGCACAAATAATCTTCACACATAATCAAGCCAAATGTCATTTTTAAAAAGAGGGGTCCATGAACTCGTTTTCAAGTTAAATCAGTCTGAATGATAAAAATCAGTTGAAAAATGCATCTTTTCCCGATATGTCACAGTTTGATGTCGCGAAAAATAACATTTTATGTTAGCGACTTCATTACCTCCCCTGTAACTGTATCATATGCCCTTAAGATTAGTAACAAACCTGCTCCTCTGTTTTCAAATGCTACAGCATAACATTTGGCTAATCCTTGTTTCAACTGCCTCAGAACTTCTTCATACCAATTTTCTCTAAACCATACCATCTGTAAATAAGTCAACAACATGTGAGTATATTAATCATAAAGTAAAAACCTGAAGGCAATGATGGTGTCTGTCTGTCCTTATTCAACTTGTATGAATTTTATTACCTCCCTTGGTATCATCTTATTTTTCATACAGGAAATATTAAGGTTAACATAGATATAATACAAATATTTAACCCACTCCCTTGTTCGTCTTTTTTTCTCTCCAGGAAACCATATTTTTATTTACATGGCTCAATACTTCTCTATTTAAAGTTTTCACTTCATATTGTGGTGACAAATGATTCCCCTGAGCAATGTAAAAGTACAATACCTGGTCAACAATTCCCTCCAGTGAGTTTAAGATCGTAGGATGTAACTCCCTCTGCATGTGCATGATTTTACTACATCTCCACATAGGAGCAGGTGCCCTGATTGGTCCAGCATCACCAGTAAGAGACTGTCCTGGCTGCTTTCCTTGTGAAGATAATGATGAATCAGATGTGTCACCTGACAAAATATTAAATTGATATATATATAAATATTTATGAATTAATTATAGATTAAACTAATGCTACAAAATATTACAAACAAAATTAATGAACAGTCAGAAAACTAAAGAAGCAAACTTTACATCTATTGAATGAGTTTTTTCCACAGATTGTTGGAAGTCTCTGTTTGATTCATTCACAACTTGACAAGAATTGAGCAATAAAGAGCTTGACATATGGAATGGCGAAATATTTTTGCCTTCGTGATGTTTTATTTTTGTTAGGTTGCTGTCTCATTGATGTATGACTACATCTCCTTTTCTTCATATCAAAGGCAACACAGAATATTTTGATTTAAAGATTCTGTTCTAAAATTTAGTATTGCTAGATAATGTTTACCTGAAGACATGGTAGGCTCTGGAGTAGTGGGTGTGCTCAAAGATATTGAAGTAGAAGCTGTTGCTACAGAAGTTGAACTCTGACCTGCAGTAGTAGTTGCAGGTCGACCTTGACCATCTGTAGTTTTGTCTGAAAGAGAGATTGCATAAATGATATCTATCCAACCAAGTAGTGCTTGAATAAAGGTACTAATAATATGTTTATAAATCAAATCCTTCATTTCCTGAACAAAGAACTAAAAATATTTTTGTTCATTACTCTTTACAAAAAATAACCAATCACAGCATTGAAAAACAAGCAGACATTTAAGTTTCTACAAATTTAAAACAAAAATAAGTTAAAATGTTTTAAATGAAATCATTAGTTCAATAACATGTACATATTCTCAAAAAAATTTCAATAGGCTTTAGAGTTAATAACTTGCATAAAATGCCTAAATATAAATATAATAATAAATAAATAGAATTATAAATATCAAAGATAAAGTTCTTTGAATATTTCATTAAAAAAAACCAGCCAGTCCAATAAGAAATTGCAAGTTTTGAGTTAGTGCAAATGATATTTTTTTATGAGTACTTACGTCTCTCCCTCTGTTCTATTTTCAGTGTCAGATACAAGGTTCTGATAGGGAAGTATACTGCCTGAGGATACATACGCCCAACTTGACTCAAAAGGTTCATAATCAAACGTCCTTCACTTCTTACCAAACAAGTCAGCAACTGTGGTATCCTTAAATCAAGATAATATATATGTATGAACTTACTTTCAGAAAATTCTTTGGTATTATTACTGTTTATTTTTTATATTTGTTAATAGATGCAATACAGTTAAATATGCAAATAACTGTGATGTTACAATATTTTGTTAGAATACATAGGAAAAAGCATAACATCTTTATCAAATCAATAATCACTTACCATGGAAGCCACTGAATTGGAGGCACTCCCACACAATATTTATCTACAGCTTCAGCTAACGTAGACTTCTCGTCGTCATATGTCAGAAGCCATAGAACTTTGGCTAAATACTTCCTCGACTTGCTTTCATTCTGGTGTCGACAAGCATGTAGAAAACAGGTTATAGCAGATACACCAAGGTTAAGTTGTCTACAAGAAAACAACATATTTTTAACTACATATATTAATAAAATTGTGATCTTGTACCTGCCACTGGAAACCAGATGCACATTTTCAGAGATTTATTCCTTAAAAAAACTACATTAATTTAATCCTTGTCCATGTACTTATATCAGATATTTATTTGGTTTGAAGGGTTTAATTTAAACAATCACTAAATAAAGATGACCTTAGTAATACTATTAATGAAACCAAACCAAAACTTTATGTTTTTGCTTCCAGTTCCACTGAAACAGTTTCATGCCACCTCTAAACAGTGTCCAGGATTTGTTTGCATTACTTTGTTTGACTTACTTGCTATCTCTGGTAAAGACAGTTTCTAAGTAATCTCCCCATAGAGCCCAGGCCTTTACCAATGTGTCATGCATCTGTACAGCAGCAGAGAAAGCTTTATTGGCATCATCAGATCGTCCAATCTGAGCAAGGAACATGCCCTTCAGAGCATAAAACTCTGCTGTAAATTCTTTGGTAAAATATTTTAAGTTTGTTGATTCAATCACTTCAAGTCCCTGAAAACAAATGAGACATACTACTTGCTCCTTTCTAAATTTTACAAGAGAATGTTGTATGTAATTGTTATTAAAGATACATATTTAATCTACAAATTATTTTCAAATATAATTTTGAGGAATCATTTCATCAATTTAAGCATTCTTATATAATTTGTAAAAAAAATCATTTTTAAGAAAAATAAAATGCACTTCATTTTTGCTTGGAATGGTTAAAGAGAGTACTTAAGAACATATTTTTCCAAAATTTCATTTCAATGTTCCTTGTTTCTGATTCCTATTAGCCATTTACCTACCTCATTCAATTCACTTTTGCCCATGGTACCAGACATTTGTAGATAACATTTTACTTGTTGTCTAATTTTCTGGAAACAATCAACAATAGGCACACTGGGAATTGTGTGGATTCTGAAATACAGATATAGCATCTGAATAAATACCAGGCTATTCTCTCAAAAAGTCAAAAATATAAAATACCCTTTAAAATTGAGAAAATATTCTATCTAAACAGTTTATTTACATATTTAACTTGAAATATAAAGCCATCATAATAAGATGCCAACATCAATATTGAAATGGATGCTTGTTGACAAGAGCTTGCCTCTTAGCTTGTTACTAACTTTACATTTGCATTTATGTTTGTTCTTTAACAAGAATGTGTCCATAGTACACAGATGCCCCACTCGCATTATCATTTTCTATGTTCAGTAGACCGTGAAATTGGGGTCAAAACTCTAATTTGGCATTAAATTAGAAAGATCATATCATAGGGAACATGTGTACTAAGTTTCAAGTTGATTGGACTTCAACTTCATCAAAAACTACCTTGACCAAAAACTAAAACCAAAAACTTTAACCTGAAGTGGGACAGATGGACGAATGGACGCACAGACCGAAAAACATCATGCCCCTAGGTGGGGCATAAAAAATGATTCGCACCTACAAAATGACCAAAACACCAAGCAGTTAATCCTAATGGATGACATACCAGTAACATAAAGTCTTTAGTACAACCAATTTCTGATTAGGGGTGGGGACAGTTAATTCAATCTCCACACTGATAAATCATTAACTTTTGACACAAAGATATGTCTTGCCTGATGGCATAAAAATCAGAAAAAGACAATCTGATGGACAGCTCCATTGCTAATTAATTCAATTCACTGGCCTAGGGGGCAGGGCCTCAAAATAGTCGCTGCTGCCAACAGAAAAGCAACACCAGCGACTTTTGTTACAGGCGAGACAAAAACTTTATAATAAAATATAATTTACATACCTGCTGAGTGAATCTAAACAGACTCCTGTTAAATTATGTTTTCTGGCAATTTTCCCAAAATGGTTGATAGCTTGTGCTGAAGCATGAACTCCTAACATGGAATGGTTACTGTTTTGCTGCAGAAAAACATCACATGTTACTGAATTGTTTAAAAAATGACAAGTCTTTTAATAAATATGTATTAATTCCTAATTTGAAATATACATGGAAACTCTTCCTTATCTCCCTAAATACTAGTAACTAATTCAAACAAATGTGTATACTATACAATCCTAAAAGACCATACAATAAATACAATTAATATTGTTTTCAGAATTTTGGAAATGAATTTTTTTCAATTATTGAGCATTTAGGACAGATTTGTAGTACTTACAGGATCTTGTTGAGCATGTGAATCGTAGTGATTTACAATGAACTGATAATGATGTTGCCTCCAAGCAAATATATCTCCCCAATGTGACAGGTCATCAGATATCATTGGTAATCTATTTCTATAAAAATATAAAACAAATAAAAATATCTCTGCAGTAAATATATCTTCCCAGTGTGACAGGTCATCGGATATCTTCGGTAATCAATTTCTATAAAAATATAAACTAAATAAAAATATCTCTGCAGTGGGACAAGTCATCTAATATCATCAGCAATCTTATTTATGTGAGATATAAATATAATCATCATAAAATTGGTTCACCTAACATCCAAATAAAAGGGTAAGAAAGCAAAATTGAACAATTGGAAATAATAACCAAAAAAGTTCAATGTACTAATGAATCCAGAGATAAAAAAAGGATAGTTTCTTTGATATAAAAACAAGGCATTAAAGAAACTTTTACAAAAAAGCTTAAATTTCAAATAACTAAAAGATAGAAAAACAATACAACTTGTGAGAAATTAAGTATTTTTTACCTCCATGTTTTCACAATAGCCTTCATATCATGTAAACTAGAACCCCTGTTGATGTTAGCTGGTTGTAGCCCTTGGTTTATCTGGGCAGCCTCTTGTAGCTCCATTATCTGTTGTGCTGCCTATAATATGGAAATGAATCAGAATGTAATTATTGATTCATTAGTATTTTGTGAGTTACCAATTTTACATGAAACTAACTACTCATTACAATACAAATTATTAACTGGTTTGATGTGAAAACTGAGAAATCACAAGAAGTAGATATGTCATGACCACACAAATGTCAAAGCATGCTGAAAATTTCATGGACCATAATTCTTTGAAAAGTAAGTCATCCTAAACAAATTGCTCACTTTATCTGTTAATCACAGTTATAAACTAATGAAATTTTCACTCATAACAAGACAACTGTAAGATAAGGAGAAAGGAATGACAGACTGATTAGCAAAGGTGACTCTATATGACGCTGCCATTATTAACGTGCTATAGACATAAAAACATGAAAATTGATACAGAATCTACAGTATTTTTCATCAATTGATTTAATTTTTGCCAAATCTGAAATAGGTATTACAGAGAGAACTGAAATCCCATCAAAACACATATATATGCCAGATGGTACATGTCTAGTCCTAGGCAGTAATTACATAAAAGGCTGCTTTATGAATATAGCTATACCTGTAGAAGTGGTACATGAATATGTGATACAATATTTGGTAAACGTCTCCATTCCTTGATGGCTAACTGGCTTGATACTTCGACTAGTCTCTCAATCTACACATTAAAAAAACAAAATGAAATCTTAAATCAACATCTACTTATTACTGGTATGATAAGTGGAGAAAAAGTAGTTTCAAGTAAGGATTACATCATCTGCATGTTTGATAGCGCTTTGAAATTTCCTGAAATATTGATGAAGTAAAAAACTTAACTCATCGACCATTAGCAAAAATCTTGGACAACATACAGCAAAAGCTCACAAAACCTCAAAACCCTTTGGGTTGTTCCTTTTTTTTTTACAATATTAGAACTATTAACTGTACATGTAATAATTGTCTACATGGTTGCTTTCAGTTGTCATCAAATTTGGAATTTTGTTTGCCATTCAAAACAATTTAATCTAAGATATTAGAATTAAGATCACAGTGTAAAACATTAAATGACAAAAGTATTGATAAACGACACATCTAGTGTATACATGTGTCTATACCATGGTTACCATGTTAAGATGGTGCTCTTCAGGTTGACAGATGGCAATATATCCTCTGAATAAGTTGACCTTCCAAGCTAATTCCTTAGGACAGCTTAATTCAACCTACAAAAATTAAAAATTGAAATTGAGTTGATACTTCTGTTTTCAATGTTAAAATTTAAATCTCAATAATAAACCAAAATCATTTTAATATGACAGACAATTAAAAAGGGAATTAATCAAACTAATAATTTCATAGCGATAACCAGTAAAAGCTGTAGGTTTTACTTTTTAATTGTATAAAGTATTTTTTATAATAATGTAGTGATACCTGTGACAGAGCATCCTTCATCAGAGCCCAGTTAGGAACTCTCCAAGCACTTTCTAATACTAGATGAGGATTGGTGTTTCCTTTTGAATTGGCATACTCTAACATTAGGTCCCACTGGTTCAACTCTTTAGAGCATCTGAATGGTAAAAAACATATATATATAAGATATTGTCAGGTAATAGCAGAACAGAACTGAACAATTTAAAATAAGAATATCATATATATGTAATGGAATAGAATATGTTAGCATATTACACATGAAACCATAATGTATTGTACAAGAAATAGAATGTATGGAATGTAAATATTTCATCAGAGAATATTTTTAATACCTGCAGTGACTTTTGCAGATAAAATATTATCATTAAATCTTTATTAAGCAACTAACCTTATCCAGTGTTCCTCCCAAAGTCTGTACTCCTGTAATACTGAGGGTGATGCTGGTCCTGAATTATGATCCTGACGAGCCTTTGACATAGCCTACAAAATATAAAAAATGTTTCACTGTATATCTAACTATCTCTAATTCTTCATGCATTATTCAAATCTGTTCTGACCAGTAAGAGACATTTTTATAATCTACACTTTAGTTAAATCTTCTCATGCACTTTCCAGCCATATCTATTAGGAATGACATGCTTAAGAGTTTTTCATAGAGCTTTATTGAAACAGATTTTATCACTTTGCCTCACTAACTATGAGATCTATCTACTGGAAATTTGAAAAAATTTCAATCTTGGGAGAATAAATAAATATTATACACTGGGTATTGTGCTAAATATATATTTATATAAATAGGTATAAAAAAAGTATAAAAAAAATATAAACTTTGCATCATGTTGTATTATAGTGTAAACGAGTTCTATCCCTAAATTCCTGCATTATCATTATCAGGCATTCTTTTCTTTTACCTTCTCATAATGGTCTTGTGCTTGTTCAAAGAAGCCATGTTGTTCATATGCTAATGCTGTATTGGTCTCATTGAATTTTGACCTCTTCTGCCATATTCCAACTAACATATCTTCCTCTTTGAGCAAGGCATAAAGTTCACATAATGCATCTAATGATTCCTAAAACAGAACAAACAATGCTCATTCCTTATCTATGTATACTGATGTTGATATAAGTCCGTGGAAAAACATTTAACTGAGAATCTTAAATCAATGACAGAAGCCAAATTTAAAAACTTTTTATTATAATGAGAGTCAGACTTCATAATTTCTTTTCTTTTCTAATGTATATGTTTCTTTCATTATTATGATAATATGGAAATCACAAATGTCACTGTAAAAGCATCAGCATGTATGGAAATACAAAATAAATTCTTTTAAAATTTTAGCTATATAATCCTGTCAATCATTGTCACAACTGTATAACTGGTATCACAAGTTCAATTTGGATATTCCTCCAAATCCAAAAATGCACTGGTGGACATAGTCATTCTATTATAATTACCTGTTGAGGTGAAGTGACTGGTTCAAATTCATATTCACTGATTGGTCGAGATTTGATCAGTAAAGAGGCACCACTATCAAATGCCATTTGTTCAAGTTGTAAGCAAGCTCTGTGCCACATGTTGTGTGTTCTACCAAGGTACTGTCAAAATAAAACATTCATTCAAACTCATTGACAGGAAATAATATACCTGTACATTGTTCCTGACTTATTTCGATTTCTTGGTACTAATTTCTGCAAAATTTACTTTGAAATAAATAAAATCAGAAAGCATTACTGCTTTTAAAAAATGAAAAAAAATAGAATTAAAAATCAACCAAGATAAAAATATTGTCAATATAAACTACTGATAAAGAATTTTGATTACTGTCAGACTGTTTGTATAGATTCACCTTTATTGCACAAGGTTAAATCATGGGCTAACAACAGAACAGTGTTCCACTTAAAAAAGTTTGGTATAGTATTATATTCCTTCATAACACAAGTGCTTATTGGAACATGGATGACATAATGAAATAGTCCCTCCCATAAAAGTGTGCACAGCACAGTTTTATACATCACATATCTTCACATTTCTTTTGTACAAAGATACAAAAATAACTCCTGAAAAGAGTTCTTAGCCCATAGTATTGCATACTTTTATAACAAATGTTGTAATGGAACAAGTGGTACATAATGAAATAGTCCCTCCAGAAAAGTGTGTAAAACACTCTCATTCATTAACAATTTCTTATTGGAACAGATGGTGATGCAATAAGAAATTTCACCCCCAAAAAAAATTAATATAACACATAGTATCAAGACACAATGTTGCATTAGTAAAGTACAGTCAAACCTGCCTTAACGGTCACCTCGTTTCACGGTCACTTTCAGACCCTCCCAAACATTTTCTCTATATAATTTAACTCATTTCAGCGGTCACCTGTCTAGCGCAGTCATCCAAGCAGTCACCTAATTTTTGCACGAAATCTTCATTTCAACTTTTAACAACGGTCATTTTAATGTTTTTAACTAACTAAATAATCATGATGAAAAAATAAATGTATTCACAGAATCGAAGTCAAAATGAAAATCGGAGCCTGTTTGCAACAGAGATCGCACAATAGGTGACTAAATGATTCAAGTTTCACACTTTTCTGTTTCCATTAAAAACCGTATCACAGACTTATTTCTCACGAATATAAACATATTTCAAATGTTATTCTTCAAATTTACCACTCTGGAATCCACCATTTTTTATTTCACTGACGCAAGAAAGATAACTCTATCAATTGAAAACACTATAACAATTTGCCCTGATCTGAAGGCGATGTCTGAACCTCGTTTAAAAGGTCATCTCTCTTGAGTGGTCACTTTTGATACTTCCAAAGAGTGACTGCTTCATACAGGTTAGACTGTATAGTACAATCTGATTTCAATCAATGCAAGTGTGCACATGCGTACACAACAATATGCTCTATTAGAACATTGAAAACATGACAGCATTGTTCCTTAAAAAATAAGCATACTACATATAATAACATACTTTCATGACACAAGCTCTTATTTGTACAGGGGGCACACAATGTGATAGTCCCTCTAGAAAAGTGTGTATAGAACTGGGATGACAATCTTTTTGTATAACATGACTTCCACTGCACATAAATGGTATTAATTCTCCACCAAGAATCTGTAAGAATAAAAGCCTCTATTCAACAATACAAAGCTATCAATAATTTGGCATTTTTACATGGCAAATTAAGGGGAAAAAAATTTATTTAAAATCACTTGGCATCTGCACTGATCACATATCTATTTAATATCCAACTGCTTTCTTATATATCTCAAGTTGGAACAATTTGCAGATGTGCAATATATTAATGACCTAAACTTAAGCCGGCAAATTATTATCTGAAAAATATTTACTTGAGTGCTGTTCATGTTATCAACTAAAGTTAAAAATATTTTATATTTTCTTTGACTTGACTGTTAGTGTTTCTCTCAACCTATTGCAACTCCTTAAAAATTCTTACACAGAAGCCAATTGTTTCATCAAACCAAACTGTTAATTTTGAAAGTTAAATGGTAATTACAAATGACTACCATACATATAACATATAACTTTATAATTGATATAAATATGTACAGAATTTCAGGTGTATATCATTGTAATGTTGAAAAGGAAATCAAATCTTATTAGATTGTAAGTATGCTTTCTTTTGTACCTGCATTACTAACACTAATGACTTGTCTGTGGCACTGTTAAAGCAGTTTGGTAAAATTTGACCATTTGAACAGTTTGATTTGATAAAACAAATTGTAAATGGGTCACAATTTTAAATGAACTGCAATAAGTATAAGAGTGAAACAATAACAGTAAAGGCAAAGTAACAATGTAAATTTAAGCTTAATTCATGAATTAAAAGCAGATTGAGGAATTTAAAAAATAGAAATATATATATTCAAACCTGTTGTTGTTTCTCAGATAAGATTTTCCATATTCTTGGAAAGAGATCAATCCATACAGCATGTGTCAGCTCAGTATTACTGTGATTTAACTGGGACAGAGCACCTAGGTAAGATAAAGTCTGAAAAAGGAAGATATAGTTAATGTACTTTCAGAAATTATTGTGTGCATGTATTATTGCGATTTTTGAAGAATGAACAAAAATGCAATTTAATTATTGCGATTTTAGGAAAAGCTACACACAGATATATGTACCAGATATCAGAATGCTAGTTCTTATTATTGCGATACTCAAGGAGTAGCATTATTTGCATTAATAAAAACCTCGCAATAATTTCTGAATTCATAGTAATGTTTTTATTATGGCAGGATCCAATTATTGTTTGTTACTTAAAGCTTGTTTGTTACTATCTTTATTTACATCTTCAAAAACAATCACATTTAGTTTACAATTTAGGCATAATATAAATATAATCAGCTTATTTGCATCAAATTGACTGTCCTAATTATCATGGTATGAGAACATTCCTCTGAGCATTTTGAAACATTTATAAATATTCACTTTTTTTATAATGATATCCCTGCCTACAAAATTGATTGTATTCTTTATGTCAACTAGAAGTGCAACTTACCTTAACACCAATAAAACTAAAACTTTCTAAGAGCATTGTCAGTCTATTATGTTTTAAAACAATTACCTCAACTGGTCAACAAGTCTCTAGGAATTTTGTATGGATCTGCAATTCTGCAGCAAAGTGTGAATATATTTACCTTGAATTTTCCACATCCCCTTATAACTTTACCTGGCTGCAGTTAAGAGTTGATTTATTTACCTTTACTTCCCTGCAACTCTCTAAGAACTTTGCCTGTCTCTGTAGTAAAGTGTTGATGTTTTGTTTTTGGTCATGTGTTTCCTTCTTTGGAGGTTCTTTACTACAGTTGTCATCTGATGTTACACCACTTAGTTCCATCTCTATCTCCTCCTAAAGAATACAATAATACATCCAGTGAAATCAGATTCCCTTAAGTAGAGATCGCTTCCTTCACTTGGAAATAACATGACACAAACATTACTTTTCCTGTATAATATTTACTAATATAAACATGAAAGGAGGTACTTTACTCTCACTGTTTCAACATTAAAAGTGATTTTTAAGACACTGTATATAGAGTTATTTTCGCAGGTTTTGGTCACAGTTTTGTCCTTAGATTGGGCAGTTAAATCTTCACTGTGTTCCTTATGTGTGTTTCATGGCCTTGTGTAATGCATTTAAATGAACAGTGAAATGTTTGCCTAGGGTACCCAATTAAATGTCTAACATGAAAATAGTGAAAATTTTATCATTATTTAATCAGAGATCCCCTAAGGAGTCTGAGGTTCGTAAGCTGGTTCCTTTATATCGCCCTGTATCACAAAGGGGGAGGCAATAACATTTAAATTTTGTGTTCCATAATTTCTCTTTTTTTCAGTTTTACTATACCTCTTCCTTGTTAGAGTCTACAGATTCTACATCCATCGGTTCTTCTTTGATTTTCATTAATGTGGCAAATGCTGCTCTATCCTGGCTGTCTGCCAAGTTCACAACACTACTGGCTGATGGTAACAGGTTCATTGAGGATGAACTCTGAATAGCATGACCTGATACAGCAACGGAGAGCAAAAGCTACAAAAACAGAACAAGTTTCTGGCAAGTTAAACAGCTGATAGTTACACAAATTCTTGACAATGAAAAATTACAATTATATTTAGAAGTAACTTCTAGGGAAAAGTGCATAAGTTGACAGAATTCGAATCGGATTACTCAACAATAAATTTTAAGAGCTTTAAATCTAAAGCAGTATATAAAACTTCTATCTTATAGGAAAGACTCTGAAAGAATTACCTATGAACAGCATGATCTGATGTAGTTATCAAAGTACTACCTATAAATAATTATCAAGATGAAAAGATATTGGGTGGATGAAAATAAGACAATATCCCAAAAATATGGAGTAAAACAAACAAATGAATCTTTTATGGATGGTCTTCAATGATGATGGTTCACTCAGAAACAAATAATTAGCATATAACTTAAAATGTTCACATCATAATGAACTTGTGTACAAGTTGATATAACCACAACTTCATGATAAACTACAGTTGATATAACCACAACTTCATGATAAACTACCTGTAACCAAAAACTTTATCCTGAAATTCAGAATGTACTGGTTTCACAATATCTCCATGTTCAATGAACCATAAAATTGGGATCATAACCGTAATTTGGATATAATTTAGAAAGTTCACATCATAATTAACATGTGTACTTAGTTTCATGTTGATGTGACTACAACTTTATCATAAACTACCTTGACCATGAACTTTAACCTGATACAGTATAGAGGAACAGATTAACAGACGGACAAACACAGACCAGAAAATAAAATGCACTCTACTAGCGTAGGCGGGGCATAAAAACTTAAGAAATGTTAATTTAACTTTTCACATTCACAGACCAAATTATATGGTACATATATTGCTTAAAAATAATCTTGAAAATCTCAATATTTCTTACCTCAGTACACTGTTTTATCCAGAAATGACTACTCATGGCTTCCCAATTCTGTGAACATGTAATATACAGCAGTCTGTCAAAAATCTTCTTTGGTATACTACTGTCAAACACCTAATAAAAAGTGAACACTCTGACTATAATGATGTAACAGCTTAATTTAAATCAAAATGAACAGAAGACAGGTATGGAATATACATGTGTTAGATTTTCTGAAGAATTAGGAAATGAGATCTTAAATGACCCCATACAGGATATCTAATTTAATTCTCTACTCTTATGTAAGTCCCATAACTCCTTCATTATTACTATTTTAGAATTTGATAAAAGTATCATGATATTCATGCAGACTTAAATCCTTATCCAGTATATATATTATATTTAACACTGAAAATGTTCACCATACTACTTGTTTTAAGAACATAAATTTTCTAAAAAAAACAAAAATATAACATACCTCGACAAATTTCTGTCTAATATGATGCTGGTTACATCTAAGTCCACCAAGGAAGGCTGGTTCTAATTTAGATGTTAATTCTGTTCCAATCAGACTCTGATCTCTGAAATGTACAACTTTATTTACAGAAAAAAGTAGAATATAAGTAATAATAAGTAATACTTTAGTTTATGCTTGTCTGTAAAATAGATGACAACGTGTATACAGTATAGTTTGTAGCTTAAGTATAAATAAATATTCAAAGATATACATGTAAACTTGTGAAATATCTATGGACTTATATTCTGCATTGACATCCCACCATAACAATTTGTTGGCTTAATATCAATGCCCACTATACATGCATGTGTAAGAAATAAATAAATGAATAAAAATACAAATACAAATAAAAGTGAATAATTGTTTTAGCTACCTATAAATATAGTTGACTAGTTCCAGAAACTGAGCATTTAGTTCTGATTCATCAGGAAATCTTTTTTCTACATTTTGCATCAGTTTGACCAATAGAATAGCCTTTTCTCTGATAACTGGAGACTGGTTAATGGCAATAGCTGTCTGAAATACAAAATAACTGGTAATTAAACTTTTTTTCAGAATTTTCAGATACTGTAAATTCAGAAATATTTGTGGTTTCATTATTGTGATTATTGAATAATGGACATAACTGTGAGATGAATTATAGTCATTTCAGGAAACTCTGCATACAAAGAATCCTGTAGAAATTTACAATGTGAGTTTTTATTTTCAAGACAAATATCCTGCCACAAATTTCTCAGCAATAAAAACATGACAATAATTTCTGAATTTACAGTAATTGAAATCACATCAAAAAGATTCTGGCACTAAAAAAATGTATTTAATTTATTTTTCTTACTGTCCAGTTCTTATTCTCTTCTTTGAATGACTTAGAATACTGGTACTTCCTTCTTAAATTTGTACACTCAGTATTATGGTTAAATATCTTGACATGTATTGCCGTGTCATTGAGGTATACCCCACATCTCCTTGTATTCAAATGATATTCCTGTCAAGTTCAGTTAAATTCAATTACAAATAAACATTCTGTCCTCAAAGGATAAGAAAAGAATTTTGAATTGGTCATGGGTCTTTATAATGATTCTATATATATAACTGACATCACAATATTCCTACCTTTGTTTTAACCCAATCCTCCACCATTTTTGTTATAGCCTTCATTACTTTACTATCTGTTGTTTTCTCAATCAAACCAACTAATATCTGACCAATGAATGATTTTCTCATCTCTAAACTCATCACACCAACACGATTTTTCACCAGGTCTAAACTCAGAATCAATAATTCACTTGCAACTGGAAATAAACAACACATTTTTATAATGTAAAATTGTTTTGTTGAATATATTTTGGCCTTCTCTATCAATCTTTAGAACACATTAAACTTCATTGAGTCCCCTTAAGCTCTTGGCATGGTGCAATTTTATATTCAATGTTGAAGACAATGTGATGAGTTTCAGCTTTTTGTTTTTTACTCCTTTTTAAATTTGGGAAATTATCTCATATACATCTACTCCAATACACAATATTCCAATTGATGCATTTTCACGGAAAAATTTGAAGTCACAAAATAAATATCTTCATGTCACAATGTCATATGAAGTTTTTTTTCTCAAATGACCCCAGGTCATTGGGTAGTAATTGGAAAGTTGTCTTTTGCGTTACCCATTCTACAGTCACTGCAAACCTATGGACATTGACAAAACTTTGGTTGTCATGGTATTTCATAATTACAGTGCATTTACTTTACAAACAGAAGATGTGAACTTTATTGAATTTGTTTTTTTTAACGTGTCTTCTATGTATTAATTAAAAGAAATTGTTGAAACCAGAAACCAGTTTCAACATTGCCCTTAACTTACTCTTATTCAATGCATGATATACAAGTAAAGATATTATAAAAGATGTTTACCTGGACTAGTTTCTGGAGTTGTCGGAGTCAGATGTTCTCTTGCCATCTTGTGTAAAACTTTCATGAAAGTTGTAATAAGTCTATCTATATAACATTGATTGTGCATACATGCTGCCTTTAGTATCATCAAAGTACTGAACAGCTGAGAGGGAGATCCTGCTGTTGTGGCTCTGAAAAAAGCAGGTACTTGTTTTTAAAATACCTTCAAGTCGCTACTGCTGCAGAATGTATGTACTTTTTACTTACCAATATTCAAATTATATGATAAATCAATTGTTTAAAATCAAAGCAAAATCTAATTATATTATTTTATAAAATCAATAATAATGAAGAAAAAAATCAAAAATCAAAGTAGCTATGGGATTATCTTTAGAAGGTTTTTGTACACAAGAGAAAACCAATATCCATTCCAGTCATATAAGGTGGTCAATATAAGGTGCACCAATATATAAATTTCAGTGTTTTCCGTTGTAGTATGTACAAGGAAATTCTTTTTAAATCATTCTTGGATGTAAATTTATTCCAAAATGAATTATGGTGATTATGTGTGAATCATTCAGATATCTTGCCGTATATTCTATAGTTATTAGGTCCATAAATCAGTGTTCATTTATCCCTAAAAAGAGTTACTTCTAACTTTATCACCTTGTGTGTACTGCATAAGGAAAAGCTTACACACTACACAGCAGAATAAACTACAATTTGAAAAAAATCTCTATCAGAAGACAGAAATTAATGGCTAAATTTTCAAATTTATAAATATTACTTAGTATTGAAAACATCATGTGAGCGTAATATGTTTGGTTTGACAACTTACAATCTTTCTGGGAAATTAAAAAGGAGAGACAATGGGCAGATATTGGAACAAGAAGGTAGAAAATAGGTACTTTGAACACTAGATAAATAGAGTTATGGTACAAAATATATATACTCAAACACACCTTTTATAAAACATTCTTAAAACAAAATTTAAGTTATAAAAAAACAAACTCACTTTTCATAAGCAGTTAGCCCTTCATACACAACTTTACTGACACAGGCGTATAGACATTCCAATTCCTCATATTTAGATGCCACATTTGATGTAGCTGGTTCTGTTGGGAAGAAACTCATCAATCTTGATAGTAAGGTATGTACTCCACGAATCACTTTTGTGTTGGGACAGGTCATGCATGCAGCAATGCCTCTCTGTAGTGGTTTGAAGCTAGATAATATGGTCTCTTTTTTCTAAATGAAATAAATTTTAAAATTAACATAAAATTATCATACTGTTTATTCAAAATAGATACTTGAGCTAACTTGTCCTAGAATTTAGCCTGTCAATAATTAGATAACATGTTCTCCTACAGCTAATGTATCAGCAATTCATTTTTAAAACTTATTTATAACTGGTCAATTCAGTATTAAGTTTACCAATAGTTCTTCAAATGTATATAGGTTTGCCTGAATATGCATGAAATATTTGGCACTGGAGGTTAAGCAACCAACAATCAATAAATCAAATGTTTTGGAAAACAATTTGTTTATGGTAAAAAACTTGATTTGGGTTACTTCCAAAAGATTTAGATTTCACCAATCTACATTTTTAAATCATCAAATAGAAAAGTTACAATAGAGTGGAAAAACTGCATAAAATTTGGTTACTAAATAAAAGGCTGAAAATGTCTTACTGTGGATTCATTATTTTTCACTGGACATCAATTTTCCGCTGGACATCAATTTTCAATGGTTTCTTGTGTTCAATAAATTATAAATTTTCTATTGGCTTGTAGGTGTAATACCACCATTGATTTTCCACTATTAGTCTTTGTTAAATTTGCACTTTTCAAAAAATTGTGCAGAATTTATCTTTGTTTCAAATAAAGAAATACTTGGCATGAGTAAAGTTTTATCCTGTCCAGTACTATAGAAAAAATTTCACATAACATTTCATTGCATATAAGAAAATAACCATCACTGAAAGTTAACCAATCAAATTTTCCCCCTTTTTTAACCTGTGTACAAGCTTTAGTAACCATGTAACCTCAAGTTTCCAAAATATTCTATAGAAACCCCAAATAAAAAAATAATGGTGCTTTGAAATACCCAAGATATATGTTTATGACCCAGAAATGTTTTTTCTGCAATGAAATGTAGGATCAATTACCTACAACTGTCAAATTCAAGGGAATATTTTTTTTCCACCTATTTTCGCATGCAACCGGATGTGACGTACTATGATTTGGTGGTATTACACCTAAATGCAAGAAAATGCAAGTTTTCCTCATTCCAAGAAAATAAGTATCCATGAAAATAAATGAATGGACAGTATCAACATTAGTAACATTTCTTACCAGAATCTGTAATAGGAAACTGAGTAACTCCAGGGCTGTACAGATGTTGTTGAAGTTTGGTTGATGGTTCTCTACAGATGTCAGGAGCTTATCAAACCAAGCCAGTTTTAATTCTGCATTTGGCCAGAAATCAGGTCGTAAGGCTGGCTTCAGTAGACTTACACATCTTCTTGATAACAGTTCACCTGGAGAACCAGGCGTTTCATTTACCTGTAACCAATTATTATGTATTAAAAATGTCAGTCACAATACATTATCGTAAGTCAATATGTAACCTGACATTAACAATTGTTAACTGTTTATCAACTCTCAATTCCTGCAACCAAAATAATATTAGAACTCCCTCTCTTTAGAATAGGTAGAAGATATTATTCCCAAAAACCTAGCCACATACCTGACAACATTTCAAAATGCCCATGGGGGTTTTATGTGCAAAATGGATCTTATAGTCATGCAAAACCTTTAAAGGGGCCTTCAAATTTATTTTAATGTTGTTTTTTTGCTTCTTCATACTTTTACAATCCTATAGCCATGGTAAAATTGAATGTTTTGATTTAAATTGTGGACAAAATTGCTCTTTCAAAATTTCCATTTGGGAGATTTCATGGGGGAAATCCCCCTCAAATAGTATCAATTGGCAGGTATGAAGCCAGTACATGTGGAGACTAATTATTTAGACAACACCTTGAAGTTAAGTTCATTTGTTATTGTCTATTCTATTCCTAGCAACTAATTTGTAGCCAGGAGTTAGGTGCCTGTTGGTATCACAATTAGTTATTTTAGCTTTTTTTAATCTTTACTCTGTACATTTCATTTGAATTGTAAATAATCTGAACTCTATTTCACTTTATTTTTCTTAATTTGATAATGTTAAATGCAGAAGAAATGTTGGCAACAGATACATATTCCTGGCTTTTCCCAACATTTATGTAAATAAAGCTGACATGTGCATAAAAAAATAAAGTTAACAGTGTTAAAATGGAATGCTCTTCGTAACAAGGCATTCCAATTAGTTAAATAAACATAAGAAATTTCTAAATATGATGTAAACATCAGCAGTGCACAAATGATTATTTTAAGTTCTGTTAACATCACAGAAATAACTTACCTGACAAGCAATTCTTAACAGGAAATTAACAACAGCATCACATGAATGTTTGTCAATAGGTCTGTTGACATCTGTTAAACTTCTGTTACTCTATAATCAAGAAGACACCCAATTTTAGACATAATTACTAAATGTTATCAGTAAGTTTTATGCTTTTTAACATTAAGTATGCACTAGTTCGCCTTCCAATTTCATTATACAGTAGAATTATAGTACAAAACAAGGCACAGCATTCTACAATTTTATTCTTTCTTCAAACCAGGTATATGAACACAAGAATATCTATCCATATCCCACTCACACTATTACAATACCATATTCAGGGAACTGTGAGATTTGGGTCAAAATCCTAATTTGGCAAATATATTCAACAGTTCCCTTCATAATGAACATATGTACACAGTTTCAAGTTGACTTGACCACAAACTACCTCACTTAAATTACCATGTATTCACTGGGAACCACTTTATATGCCAACTACAGTAAGATACACCTTTCAGTATTTCAGAGTCTTGCAACCCAATAAATAGGATGAAAAATTGACATTTTTTGGCCAACTTTGGGTGAGAGTCCCCCATTCAACCCCTCACCCCACCCTGTTATCACCTATCCTAGCTATATTGTCATCACTAAGTATTAGCAGCAATGTATGGATCAGTTCCATATAATTTGCAAATCTTTGCAAGTAAAGGAAAATTAGACATTTTCTAGATTCAATTCAGCATGTAAAGAGTTAATTCATTCTAATGTATAACAGTGAAGAATTTTATGATTTTGTTTCCCATTCTAAATTTTCTTGTACTGTAAACTTATGTAATGTTTATTTTAGATGACATTAAGAAACTTACACTCTCAAGAAGAATGTCCTGATCTTCAAGGACAACAAACTGATTACTTACAGCTCCAGAAGAATGTCTTGATCTTTTAGGTTCCTGAGGGGAGTCAACAGATGTAACAGATGCAGAGCTTCTCTTTGCTGGTACATTCTGGTTCAAAGCGTTAGTTACATCATCAGGTGCCTACAATTAATTTTTAAAACTATTTCAGTTAAAAGTTAGTACATTCTGGTTCAAAGCTTGAGTTACATCCTCAGGTGCCTACAATCATTTTTTTTAACTATTTTAGTTAATAAAACAAAAATAAAAATATTTGTATTGTTGGTTGGAATATTCTAAATCCTTTCTTCAATGGCAAAAAAGAAGAAGCAATGTGATTTGCAGATTATTTTTTAAATGACCTCGACTTACTGGTATAATTCTTCTTCACACATTGTAAAACAAAAAACATGTTGACTAAATGAAGGTGATTTACTTATGTTGTACTGAATTAAGTATCTCCTTTGTAAAAAAAAACTTTTTATATCATGACTTATTGTAAAAACTTCCAAAATATTTTACATTTGTAAAACTGTCTATTTACCTCTTTTTCTATACTTTCCACATCTTCCTTTATTCGTTGCATTTCCCATTTTATAATAACTTCAGCCAAGTCTACAGCTAGTTTGCGATGCTCTAATGAAGCCTAGAATTAACAAAATACCTGAATATTTTTTTCTTTGTTTGGATTTAATAATTCATTTTCACTCTACAGGAAAATCATCCTGGTTTATGTCATGTTGTTGGCTTCTTGTTCATGTTTTATATCAACTGCATATAGCAGATAAACTTCACATGACAATATTTTACAGCTAATTATATTTGAGTAAGAGATTATTTGATGTTCAACTTGTCTACTACAGACTTGTGTGCATTGGGTATGTTGTTTTTAAGCTTGTAAACATGATTTAGTATAACTTACACTAAAAGTAAATCCAAGTCTTTGTAATGAGTTGACATGTGCATGGAGAATGTATAATTTATCTTGTAAACATTTTTTATAGTATAACTTACACTAGCAGTAAATCCAAGTCTTTGTAATGAGTTGACATGTGCATGGGGAATGTATAATTTATCTTGTATATATTATTTATAGTATAACTTACACTAGAAGTAAATCCAAGTCTTTGTAATGAGTTGACATGTGCATGGGGAATGTATAATTTATCTTGTATGTATTATTTATAGTATAACTTACACTAGAAGTAAATCTGAGTCTTTGTAGTGAGTTGACATGTGCAAGGGGAATGTATAATTTAGCTTGTATATATCATTTATAGTATAACTTACACTAGAAGTAAATCCAAGTCTTTGCAATCAGTTGACATGTGCATGGGGAATGTATAATTTATCTTGTATATATTTTTTATAGTATAACTTACACTAGAAGTAAATCCAAGTCTTTGTAATGAGTTGACCATGTGTGGTATCAGATGATGTCGAACTGGGTAATATACTTTGTAATGACGTACTATTAACTGACTGAAATCAAAGATGAAAATAAATTTGTAAAAGAAACGAAACATGTTTCTTTTTTAAATATTACTTTTATGAAGATGCTGCTTCTATGTAGTACCAACTAAAATGAAACATAACTTTTAAAATGCTTGTTTAAATTGAATGTAAATGGTCATGAAGAGCAAACAGAAAGTACCAGAAATTTAATTAAAGGTTGACATTATAAAGAATACTGCTCTTACAAATCTGTTTGGTACCGGTAATACAAGTAAGTTGGTCTTGTTTATTTTTCTACACCTTTGACAGAAGTGTTATTGTCTTACTGAAATACTATCTTTTCTCTTTTATCTTATTTACGGCTACAACTTACAGTATGTGCACCAGCTGTGCTACAGTGTGGCCTTCTTCTACTATAATCTTCTTGGTCCAATGAGTTAACATTCCCTACAATACAATTTACCAATTAATCAATGGTAAATTTCTTTCCAATACAATTCATGAAAACAGTCATTGAAATTATATGTTTCTCCATGCTTCATGAAAATTGAAATAAAAATACATCAGTTTTGTATGTTAAATATTATTTCTTTATTTGATATGATTAAGAACAGTTGTATTTTGTCACCTCAAAGTTGATTGGACTGACAAAACAACTGAGATAACACGAGCAAATATAATGCACATCTTCATTTCGAATAGACATTTTACTATTTAAACAGGAATTTTGAGATAAAAAGAGTCAACTGTGTATGAAAATTGTATTCCTAATGAGCTTGTCAAATATGAGCAAACAGTTAGTCTTACATTTCCATCCTCCATTCTTCCTGGCATTGCTGGTGTCAAAATTTCTAAAGCTTGACGGACAACACTTCTAGCCTCCACAGCATGGGCTTTCAACAAACTATGAAAAACCTGTTAATAAAACAAACAATGCAAATAAAAGTAAATGAATACTTTACTTATAGATTATTTCTACTTATTTTACTTTGAAGTATAAACCTTAACATATATACCTAGATTTTGTATCAAAGTTACAAGTAAATATCTTAATGACAATTATATGATGTGAAGAACTGTTATCTTCATTGCAAAATCACACGTTAAAGATTTAAAATAAGATTTTTCTATGTTGTAAAGTGTTTGCCTTTTGCATTTTACCTTATTTTAATGAATGTATAGTTTTTGTTTCTGCCTTCCTGTGACACATGGCCTCCTTTTGTACCCTTACATAACACAATATTTTAGGAATCTGAGGTCACATTGAACCAGATGGCAATACTAGGGAATAACTAACTGAAAATCTGATGTCTTCATAAAAGAACTAGTCCTATACATATGCAGCAATGTTACTGATATTTGCCAATTATTTACAAGCTATCTCAAAAGTTTGCCAACAAAAAAAGCAATAGAATAAAGTCAAGTTATACATGTACATTTCATATTAAAATCCTAGTCATGGTTAATTATACAACAGAAAAATTTTTCCGCAGACCATGGTCTATAGCATCAAATTATTTTACAGCACCTAAAGAACAATTCGTTTAAAGATGGCTTATTTTATTCTAAAGTACCTGAAGAACAATTCTTTTATGAATGGCAAACTTAGCAATGATATGAGACAGCAACAGATGTCCATGATATTTGGTAGCAGGATCAACACAGTTCTTTGATAATAAACATGGCCAGGCAAATGTCATCAAACGTCTTAGTTTGTTCCCTTGTTTTCTGTAAAACAAATATATTCTAAATTATATTGTGTAACTTATTCATGTAATATGTGAATTTTTAATCCATTATAATTATCATTCCTGCTACAAAAAGTACAAAACATATTTTTCATATGACTTATGGATGGCTACTTTGATTTGATTGTGTTGTAGGAGGGTATATAATACATCTCTTTCTTTTAATTTTTTTTTTTAACAATTTCAATCCCACCTAACCTGTTGATAATAAAAATCAGACATAATTAACTATGAAAACATTTTCTGCAATCAATATTTTCAAGCATCAAATTACTAATTATCATAACAATCAAGACCAATATAAAGGTTCAGACACCAAACCTAGGCTTTGGTCCTTCAATTAACCTTTAATTATCCTTTTAATCAATTACTTGAGTAATAAAACTATATAATAGGTTGATTGAAACACTTTGCAAACAAGTTAATATTACAAAAGAACTTTGAGTTACTCATTTATAAAAACAAACTTTATAAACTATATCAAAAGTGGAAAGGTTGCCATACCTTATTTCTACATTTAGACAATGGAAGTATATAGAGCATCCAGAAAACTAAGAGAACTAATCGTCTGCCATGATATTGCAGCCAGACAAATACTTATTCTAGGTAAATCTAATTACATGTACTGGTCTAGTAATATTTTCAAAATCATTATTATCCAGTATTTACAATGGAAACTTTGGCTTCAACTTGCCACTCAAATTTGTTGGAAAAAGTTGCACACAAAAAAACTATCAGCATAGAGAGAAAAATTAATAATTTAATTATGTTTTTTATAAATTAAATGCAGTAAGAAAAGGTATCAATGATTATAAACATTATTTGTTGTAAAATTTAATATGGACATTAGCTTTACTCCAAAATACATTTGACTAGTATTAGCATCTTTGTACAAGACATCTTGTGAACAGTTTCTTCTAGGGTATGACTGTTACTAATCCATATACTTATCAGAACAAAATCCTCAAATGATACACTTTTGACTGAAAACTTCTGACAAATGTTAAATATATTTTTACTAATATCAATATCAGACACTTATGTCAAGTAACCATCTAAAGAATGCTGTAAAATAGATTTATAATAAATTGAGATTTTATAATTCTACTTCAATATTCAATATTGGAGAGAGAAGTTTTAATTTAAATTTCTAAATTATTTATCATCTTTCAATCTATGTATCTTTACTTGTTTTCAGGAATTAAGATAAATGACATTCAACAACGTCTGTCGAAGCTAACTGACACAGAATCCATCATGTTTTCTCTGATGAATCAACGCAGGTCTATGACAGAGTTTACACACGACATGTACCAAGTTTATCGTCTTATTAAGTGGCAACAGATACAGATGATGGTGAAGGTATTATGGGAAGGTTTCACTCCAACAGACATTAACCAGATCATTGTTATGGCCATGATGCAGTATGCTGACAGTATTACTAGTGATGAAGATGGGAACTCTTCTGTATTAGAGGAAGATATGATGGTCGAAGAAAGACTGCAGTGATTTGTGACTGAACTGTACTAAAATTAATATACTGTTTAATGTCTAAATGTATTCCTACCACAATAATTTATTGTAATATTTATCATTATTCATAGTGCATATTATATTTAGTGCTGATAATAAATTACAAAGTATTTTGTTTTGTGTATTGTGTTTCCTTTTTCTTTGGAGTCTAAGCCAATATATGGGCTATACTAACCTAACCCTTACTTTAACCCTAACCCTACCACTAGCCCTATAGATTGCCATAAACAATTAATTTACCCATAGGTGACAATGATAGCCTTTTTCGAGATACAGACTTTAGAAAGTTGATTTTTTTAACGAAAAGTTGCTAGAATTAAAGAAAAATTATTCGGACAGTATTTTTTGGTCCAAAAAATTTAGGTTCCCATTGCTTTTCTTAACATAATTTGTACTTATCTCCCTTGCCTATCAATTTTGTACTTAAAAACATGTGTCTCATCCTAGTGTTGAAGACATCTGAGTTCCGTTAGGGCTAAGAAAAATATATTATTTTGCCTTTGGTATAATGCAGAGTGCACAAAGTCTCTAATAATAAAAAATAATAGGTGCACATATCGACCAATCAGTATTAGCCATACTTTTAATTCTGAATACCATGTTATCTTCATTAAATGGCTGCATCCATAAATCTAATGGTTTATTGTAACCTAAACCTAACCCTAACTCTATGGTAAAGATTTCCCCTAAAATAAATGGTGACAGAAACTGCAGAAAAAAGACAAAACAAATGAAATGAAATCGATGATTATGATGTAAATGGATTTGAGAACATATGACAACATTCACAGTAACATTTAATAATGATAACTTACTTATTGTTAGCATCATGTATGTGTGAGGATGCTTGCTCCACTAACAAGGAGGATAACTGTAATAATAGAATTCTAACAGCATCTGAGGTTCCAAACGGTTTATCTGGGTCAATTATTCTATTGATAAACACACTAATGACATTCTCCTGACTATCTTGGTCTGGTGTTGGTGGTCCTCCTATTAGTTTCTCACCGTCCCCACTCTCAAAGGCATGCTGACAACAGGGTATTATTACATACTGGAGTATCTATAATAAACAATGGGATAAGTGCTATGTAAGTGACTTTTACATTGCAGAACCTTGCATGTGCTTGCTTGTTCAATTTACATTCTACAAGGAACGTTCTACAAAACAAGAGGTATAAACATTATAAATCATTTGTTATCATCTCTACTTTTATGGGTTCATACTGTCCATTTGGAAATTTGGTGATAAGATCTTTGGTAGTTTCTGTTTAATACATTCAATGCAGGTCTTGATTTTTGAATAATATACTTGTGTTCATTATTGAATGGGTTATGTTTACCTCAAGGTGGGTTTATTTCAGTTTGCATGTTTTAATGTGACTTGACTTCTGACCAGTTAAACAATTTGGTTTGATAAAACAAATTGTAATTTGGTCAGAATTTTGAATAAATTGCAATAAGTGGAGAGCAACACTTACAGTCAAGTCATTGTAATTGAAACATGTTTGCAAAAACAGCTTCAAAATATTCTAATCAATGTTTATTTCATTATCAGATGAAAATTATATGTGTTGGTACCGATAGAATGCCCCTGCATCTGCAAACATTACTTTGGACAAGTGAAATTTTCTAAGTCAAAGGGATGTAATTCTCCAAAAAGTTGGTTGAATGAAACACAAGCTTACACATTAATTTGCAACTATTCATTTCACAATAAAGATAACAGTGACCAAATTTAATTCCATTGTGCTTTAAAAGTTTTCGGTAGAGAAGTAGTGTGAAGTTATTTCCAAATGACAGAAGTCAAACACAAAGTATTCACAACAATCATAACCCTAACATTTACTTACCTTAGATTTTAAATCTTGACTCCAACTTGGATCATGAAAAAGATCTACAAACTTGAAAAAAGAATTCCTTTTCCAGTCTATTGTGTAAGTCTGAAACAGATAATAAAACAATAATTTCATCACAATGTGTATATTAAAGCTAAATCACTGACAATGTTATAGATAAGCATTGCAAATTTTCTTTTTACCAAAAAACTGTCAAAAATTTTACCAAAAAACAAGAAATGAAACTTCCAACCCTTAACCTGAATAATAGACAAAACATAACTGCAGACAACAGGGAAAATGATGAATTCCTAATACACCAAAAAGCATAAGCTGAGGATATTTCAGAATAAAATTTTCCTCATGAAATAGGAGCAAGAAAATCGTGTATATTTTATATGTTAATTTCATCTAGATAAGTATTGTATGGTGTCTTATAATATAAATGTATTCAATACACCCTTTTTGACCTGAATTTTTAAGGACAGAAAGCTAAATTTATCTAAAGCTTGCAAATCATCAAGAGATTTTATTTGACTTGAGATGAAAAGTTAAAAATAAACTATACTAACAGCAGCAACAGTTTTCTCCAAGTAATCCTTGACAAACTGGAACTGTACTATATATCTGTATGTAAAACATCTCAGGACATTGAATAAAAGTTCTACTTCATCTATGTGGTATCTGTAATGTGTTTAAAATAAATATTTAAATAATCTACATCTTAAAAAAATACATCCTAACATGACTGACTTTGCCATTAAAAAAATACATATTACTGTTATCACTGTACAAGTTCTTTATAGATGAAAAATGATCAATTTCAACATGATTTTAAGATAAAAACAAATCACTCCCTAACTTTCTGATATACAACTATGAACTGAACATTAACATTAAAATTATGACAAGAATTTGTGTACAGTAAATACAAAATAAGATTTAATGTATGGATAGTATTCCTAAATTTGAAAGTTTATCAAACAATTCTAATGTGTTAAAAATTGTATGATAGAGACTTATTGATTGATACTTACTTGAAATAGTTCAACAGACATTTAACCAACAGAGCAGGTTCTTTCCATTGAATATAATCTACACTATCCTACAATTTCAAATATTGGTACTTCATTTTGATTATGTTTTGAATTGTACATTTAGACGACTATCATTTATGAAATGGAATCATAAAAATATACAACATTTGCTAGGTGAAGAAAAAGCATATACCATTTCCAAGTTTGCCCTAACCAGGAATTAAACCCCAAACCCTTCTCCATTTGATATACCATAGATACTCGCCTCAAAGTCGATCCTACTATAAGTCGGGGGCCCTTTTCAGCTCCAAATTCTAAGGATTTAGTCTTGACCCTCGTATAAGTCGGACAAAATTTGGGCATTTTTTTTTCAGCTGACAGTAACTGAACGCCGGTAAAACCAATGCAAATCCAGGAATAATATTCATTTCTGCATTAATGTTTGTTTGGTTTGAATTTAGTTGATGCTCATCATGATAATTTATATTGCTGTTAATAATAAAGATGTATTCATTTCTCTTGTTTTGTTCACTGTTCAAATGTTAGATTAGCCATGTGTTGTTTACGTAATGCATCAATGATTTTGTAGGGTATGACTAACAACCTATTGTTTGAGAAAAGCGAATATAAACCAATATGAACCTGAAAAATTTAAAGTCAATCAACACTTGATGAAAATATTTTTCACAGCATACATAACTCGGTGTTAAATGAGCATGTACACTTCATAATTCTTATTATATTGTGATGATTAAAGGATTAAAAAAATTAAGTGAAGCTAATCAATATATTAAAATAACTAACTCCAACTCATTAGTGTCATCTGTTTACCTATCACTGATAGTTTTCACACCTTTAGTAAATACAACTCTTTGTCTCTTAATTGGGGTTATCAATGGATTATATTGGCTTGTCAATCAATTTTGTAATTTGTTTACTGAGACACTTTAATGAATAGTATTTTGATTTTGGGAATGAATCTTAAAATTATTTTTTGATTATTATATGATTTATAAGCATTGAATTGATATCATGATATCACAATAATGACACAATAACTCCGCTGAAAACATCCTTTCACATATTTGGTACATTATTATCTCCTTTTCATTTTTGGTTCTTGGCTCTTCTTTTGGGTTTATAGGAAAACCATGTGACCATGAAAATCAATACACAAACCGGAAACAGTAGAATTTCAACACGAATTTGCAGAAAATGTTTACCAAAGAACAAATTAAACACAAAGACAGTATTGTAGTCATTTATTTTCAACAAAAACTTTTTATTTATTGATTTATGTAGGTTTGGCAATCAAAAACGTAGTTTTGACCAGGAAATTCACTCCTGACCACTTTTCTCAAGCTTGGATTTTTCCTCTGGTCGCTAGATCTCGTCCATTAGTCGGTCCCCCTCTCTGGATTATGAATTTTACTCCCAATTTTCCGACTAATAAGCGAGTAGGAACGGTAAGCACATCATTAAGAGACAATTAAGGCAGTTCAAGTTTGCAGTAAGTACAAAGTAAATGCAATGAAACAATAATAATAATATCACCATCTAATTCTGGCAACTTTCTGTTGAACAATCAATCATATTGTTATCTTTTGCATTAGCACAGTATGATATATTTTATTACTATTGTAAATAAAGTATTTTTTCCAATACTACTATTGATGTGAAAAACGTAATGCTATGTAAGTGTCATTATTAAAAACTCTAATTCTAAATCTGACAGCATTATTTCTATGCAGCAATTTCAGAAATCAAATGAATTAATCCTGCATTTTTTCTCAACGGTTTAAAACATTTGCATTAATAAATGTACATAATTATTTCTGCATTTAACAGTAATATATCAAAACTAGTGAAGTGTAAGTAAAATATTAAATAACTCACAACTTTATCATGTCTGTCTTGAAATGTGTCAGTTTTCCACAAGGATAAGAGATGTTCCAGCTGTAAGAGGGAAATATAATTTGTTATAGTAAGTTTAAAGATCAAATAACCTACAGTTTAAAGATTTTCTGCATTAGTCTAAATTATCAGCTCTTAGAAAACCAAATTTTTCTTTAAGAGATCAACAAGTATCATAATATACTCTTAATCAGTAAAACATGGTGTAACAGAACCTCTTAATTTTTTTTTTCTGAAGTCCAGTCTCTCATGAACAGAGGTTAAAGCTACCATTTTCTTTTTCAACATTGTCTTTTGACAACAACCAGATGTTTGCATGTATAAAACTGACCAAGTCCTGTCAAAATATTATGAATTTACAAAATACAAGGTACACAAACTATCTGGCATGTTGTTATAGTTTTCATTAATTTGTGATCAATAATACTCAAAATTGACAACAACACTTCAAATGGTCTGCAATTTTATTTGCTATGGTCTACATGTTTCGCCTGCAAGACAGGCGTCATCAGGACAATTTTCATACAGAAATTAATTACTGAAGTACTCAAAGTGGTACATTGAATTTGACGTTGTCAAGGTGAGAGAAACAATGAAAGGCTTGCGAAGTGGTAGGAACCATGGGAAGATCCTCCATTTAGATACCAAGCCTTTAGAACAATGTCATGTATCATATAAAAGTAAAACGAACTCAATTTACATTGTAAACAAACTTTATTTTTCTATAATTATCTTATCTATTTATAACTCTTTATTGCTACTTTCACTTTTCATTGTTTCCTCACCTTGACAACGTCAAGTCAAATTCAATGTACCACTTTGAGTACTTCAGTAATTAATTTCTGTATGAAAATTGTCCTGATGACGCCTGTCTTGCAGGCGAAACATGTAGACCATAGCAAATAAAATTGCAGACCATTTGAAGTGTTGTTGTCAATTTTGAGTATTATTTAAATGTTGCATTCATTTGCATAATTTGACAACCCTGCATACCAAGGTATCCACTTCAGGGACTCTATTGAAATGATTCACACAAGCGTTGGTTCACCAAACGGAGTTTAATTTGTGATCAAGTTTATTAGACTATTGAATGTAATAAAAATTTCTGAATATTTAATAAATTTAACTGTGACAGCAAAACAAAACATAGAATATCTTAGAAAAATAAAAATAAAAATATTTCTGCAAATGTTTGACTTGAGTATTTACAATTTCAACATTTTTAGATAGCCATTCCTCTTCACATCTAACAAGTATGCTAATAATAGATATCATCTGGTACTGCATGTCCTGTGTTCCTGATCCAGTAGGAAGAGATGTTGGTGAGGCTGAGATATCGACAACAGCTGACTGACCCTGTACAAAAAACAAAACAAAATTTGAATGAACAACATTTTGATAATTTCTTTTAGAATAGTTTGCTTCTTAATCTGATAAAATATATACTTGTTGTAACACTTTTGTCATGAATGGTTACAGAAAGATGACAGTAAAAGAAACATTACAATACCAAATTCTCTCAGGGTAATTATTCTGTTAGTCCTAAATAAGGTGGTGTAAAGAAATCAATATAGAAATAAGCCAAAAACATACTCTATAAAATTGCCTAAAAATATGATTTATAATTAATAGAATCTGGTGAAACATTTTTATAAAATGGCAAAAGTTTTGGAAAACAATAGTATATTTATCATATATGTTTTACCTGTGTAAGAGCTATCAGTCTTTGTGGACTTTTCTCCAAGATTTCTCTTAAAGGTTTACCATCCTTATGTGCTAAAACAAACTGAAAAATGCAAACAATGAAATGAAACAGTTATTTTGTATGAGTATCTTTTGGTAAATTTTTTAATGACAGATTAGACTTCATATAAAATATGCACTTTAAATTCATATGTTACTGAAAAAATTTATTTAATATGAACAACTTGACATTTATCACATCCATAGAAAAACACAACACTTCTTTAATATCATTAGCATCAAAATATTTTACAAATAGCTTATAGTTATTAAATTGTTTTTAAAATAGAAAAGTATGTTAATTGTATTTAATACAAACTTCAAATAGTCTAGTCCACTGTTGATCTTGTAGATGAATTTCTTGAAGAAATAGTTCTATTGCAGTGTCTGGGTATCGTAACAAAAACTTCACAAGTGGATCACGGAAAGGACTGCCAGCCTGTAATTAAAACAACAGTTATCCAAAAGCATCATCTTTTCAATATCAGTTGTTTTAAAAAAAACTTAAAACATATATATATATTTCTAAAGTCAGAAATAATTTTAAAAAGTAATGTCCATATGCTTACTTTTTAATAAATTTTTTGACACAAGACCAAACAAATAACTTATGTCTGTTGATTAGTAAAATCTGATACATTATCATTTAGCAACTAAAATTATATTTCTGCAGCATTTTTATCATCAAATTACAAAAGAATATTTTTGAATAAATGCCCTTACCTCTAGGAACATAGCTTTCTCTCCATGCAGAGTTAGAACCACTAATGGTTCTATTAACTTCTGACTTGCTGCTGGTATCATGTGGAAGATATTGATAATTGAAGCACATGTCTTTAGTTCCTTCAAAGAAATTGTATTATTGTTTATATGTTGACCAAAGCATTGATTTTTAACCAACACGTTTGATTCAAAGTGCTAAAAAATCATTAAAATAACACATTATAGAAAAGGATTAAAATAAAAGTCATTAATTTGCAAAAGTTGTAATAAAAGGCCATTCCAGAATTAATCGTGTGAGGGGCATGGTAGACACATTTTTTAGACCCCACCCACCCATAATGTAAAATTAAAATTCATTAATGTGAGTCAGCAAGGATCCGGAAATTTTTTCACACAATTTCCGTCATTTTGAGATGACTTAAAAGTTGGTTCCCTTTTTTCAAATTGTCGATATCAGTTATCACACTAGATTCATAGCATCAACGAACTTGTATTGACTGTTTCATCGCATTTACTTCATGAATTTTCTTACCAATTTACTAAAAACGTTCAAGAACAGTTTAGGGAAGGCAACAGTTTAAAATTGAAATAATTTTAATGACTCAAAATGGTTAATTTCTCAGACATCGCTATAGTTTCTATTGATTTTGAAGACGAAATTAAAACCTGAAGTTTTGTGACATACTAAAGTACAAATAATTCCGGTTTTATTTCCAGGATTCGTTTTGTTTATCAAAATGACAGGAAATCACCGGCTTTTTAATTTTATTACCTTTTAAGTGTTTAAATATAACAGATAATAGTTTCACTAGTTTAATTTAGCATGATATCATTTTGCATTTTACGATTAAAAGTCTAATCTGTTGAAGACAATTTCCCGCATGCGTATTACATAGTTAGTAAAGCACATATGTTACCCATGAAGAAGCATTAGTCTAGTTATTAGGAGGGCCCTCAGGATAATCAAACTACACTGGAGTGGCAGTTTTATTACAGGAAAGGAATTAGAAAACAAAAACAAGTGTAAAATGACGATTAATGTAACCCGATCTCAATAAAATGACCAAAATTATTTCTGTAAAAAAATAAAATTAGACCAAATTCCCAATTTTTCGTTTAGGACATATAGCTTTCAGTTTAGGACATGTCTGGCAAATATGACCGTTTCCGGACCCTTGTGTGAGTGCCTTCCATCCCTCTAATCACAATCAATTTTGGAACAGTTTGGTTTGTTTGCCGAAAATTTCTCATAATCTTCTTATTTCAAAACTTTACATATCAAAATTATCTGACGAAATAAGTGTTAGCATTTAAGATGCTAAATTTTAATATAAAGTTTATTGCATAAATACATTACTCGTAGAATTACTTCTTCTTTTAGGTACAATTATTTGTTAATTGCTCTTAGAGCAACTAATATTTCAATATGTTATCAACAACACAATTCTTATAAAATTGTATCCCATGGATCTATAACTATATGGTTTCATCTTCCTGAACATGCATGAAATGTTTGCCACTGGACATTAAGCAACCAACAATCAATCATTGGTTTCATTATGTACTAGTCTTGATTGAAATTTAAACAAAAATATAAACTCCCTTCCTTGGCTTTACATTTTTACTGGTCTTATATATTCAAACTTAATGTGTATATTTTAGAGGTCAAATATGATTTACTTTGACAAGATATAGAAACAATAAAATAAATTCATCAAGGTTTTGTCAGTTCAAAGCAACATCATCTTACGACTACTGAAAAGTTAACCAACTAATATTGATTCTGTGAAAGAAAATAGGGACAAAACATTTGCATCAAATGGATTATCAAAAAACGTAACCCCACCCAAACATGGGGTACAACCCTTACCTGAGCAATTACCTCTCCGTTAGCTTTACTTTGTCCACTCTTCTGACTAATAGCTGCCACTTCTAACCACTTCTTCAAATGAGTCTGATGATATCAAATAATATCATGTAGTGATTAAATCAAACAACTTTTCATATACCACAAAAATTAACCATGCTGATTGAATCAATATCAAACCTTAAATTTATTGAGAGTTTTTGATGATGTATCCAAAACTATGACACTGTTTGAATACTTTCAATGCATTGCCAACTTCTTACCCTTCACGTATCTATCTTAATAAAATATTTTTCATATTCTTGAAATCAATGTTTTCCTGCGTAATTCTAATTTCCAATCTTTCAAACTGTTACAGAAGTCTTACTATTAGTATTCAAATACTATCTTGAAGACTTCAAAGTACATGCCATAGTTTTAACACAGACATTATTATCATGATGACCTTTGATAATAACACTGTACAGTCAAACCTTTATATAAAGGCCATCCTCGGGACATGAGAAAACTAACCATATATGAGAGGTAACCTTTTGAGATTCTACATGCAAAGCTACAGCAAGACAAAAAGAGGTGAGTTTTGCTTTATAGAGGTGACCTTCATAGCAGGTTTTTCTGTACTTAATTACTTACTATGAGTACATTACTCACTGTGACAAGTTTTATATCTTAATTATAAATTAAGCAATGTTATTCACTCTTCTATAGGAGGCTAGTAGATGATATATATAAAATAAAATGCTTACCAACAATTGTTCACAAAGTTTTTCATTGAATGTATTAGGGAACAGCTGTGTGATGTAAGATAACCGTTTGATGACGTTAGAGTTGAGACTTCTGTGATCTCCTAATGTCAGCAGCAATGGTCTAATGGCTTGATGAACACTTTCCATGTCAATCTGACATCCCGATATAAACTGAAATAACAATAAACAATGAATTACAGACTATCGTGTACATTGTAAGGGTCAGAATTAAGACTTCTATGATCCCCTAAGGTCAGCAGTAATAGTCTAATGGCTTGGTGAACACTTTCCATGTCAATATGACATCCAGATATAAACTGAAATAACATTGAATAGTGAATTACAGATCATTCCTTGTACATTGTAAGGGTCAGGTGATATATTAAGGATTTTCTTTGTACATTATAAGGGCAAGGTGAAATCTCTATTTACTGGATATTTTCTACAGTATTATAAGTTTTACAACAAATGACTTGAGAAATTTATGACAAAGCATTTCAAGAGTCCAGGGAAAACATTATTGTTTACCTTTTTCATACAGTTATGAGCTACTTCTTGTAAATCTGTACTGTTACTGTTTAGAGCTTTGTAAAGAACATTGAATATCTTCTCTCTCCTATTAGCAATGTAATGACAAGCTGCTAAAGCTCCTAGAAAATAAATGGTCACTTTTATATATTCTTTCTTCTCTTGGCAATGTGATTACTTCTAAAGCAAACATTAAATTTTAACCAAATATGGGTCTTGCTCCCAGTATAGGTTATACTGGTAATAACTATTTAAATTATTCAATGAATTCAACTATTTATAATTCATTTTTGAAACAGATTCATAAAAACTTGAGGAAGCGATACACTTCGGATGAACATCAAATAAACAGCATGTATATTCATCAACAACTTATATTTAAAGAGTAATATGCATTAAATTACATAATATAATTGTTGAAGTTTACCAGTCTGGACTATATAATAAAGGTCTACTTACTGAGTGCACTTTTCCTAAGAGGTACCAGATCTGTGACAGACTTATAACAAGGAAGCTTTAACAATACAGCATCTTCTGCTTCACAGAGGCTAAGTAACTGTAAATATGTAGCACAAAATGGATTCAAAATTTCAACAATGATACAAATATAAATTTTATAGTTTTATCTTTTTAAGACCAAATTAAATGTGGCATGCAATTTATACACATGCAAGCATTCTTCACATTCAAATGTAAAAGTTGATGTTTTTAAATGGCATGATTTTTTTTAAAACACATATATGATAATACCGATATGACAAGCTCTATGATGTTTTCCAATGAACAATATAATTTCTATCTGATACAATGTTTGTGATTTTCTTTGCTGCTGTGTTCTTAACAATGACCACTTATCTTTAATTAGCATTTTTTTTTTAAATTCAAATAAAACCTAAAAGTTTTGATTCAAACAAGTAAATGATTCCTTAAGTTACAAGTAATTTTTTATTCATTAGGAGTTTTACATTATAAAACATTTACCGTCATTATTAAAAAAAAACCTTCTAGAAAATCTGAAAGTATATAATTACCTCTGTGAAGAAGACGTTATGCTCCAGTACATTGAGATCTATAGTAAACAACCTTGGTTCCAATGTAGTACAGAATGTGTTCCCATCCTATACAAATAAATTAAATATACTAAATCAGTCATAATGAATCAACCAGATTTTTATATTCTTTATCCTATAACTGATATAAAAATGGTTAAAAAGCTTTAGACCAAGGAAAAATGTGTAGTGAAATTTATGGATTTCTATTTTTAATTTGTCTTTGAACAAAAAACTTGTGAAATTACTTATGTATTTTAAAACTTTGAATTATTTCAGCATGTATTCCACATTTTAAAGGATATTTTCTACACTTTTCATTCCACAAGTGTATATTTTTGCACCTATTAGTTACCATTAATCCAATCTGAGCATTCGCTGGTTGATGTCTCAGTAAATGTTTCTTTGGAGGAATCATATCTTGTAAAACATCCTTATGAGGTTCCATGATCTCTGTTATTGACTTCTTTGTTGTCTTAGCCAAAATCTCTAAAGAGTGCATTGCCTACAATATAAGATAATCTGTGATTAAATCTAATCATTTGTTTTACCATGTGCACTGTATTTGATCAGTTGACATAATAATGTGTTTCCCCATAACAGACTCAAAATATTCAAATTCTATCACAAACCTTATTGGAATATGTAAGTAAGTAGTCTCGGGAATTAACTAAGTTACTGTCAAAAGTAAGTAAACATTATGGATACACTATCAAAGAGGACTTTGGCATTGATTTTCTAACCTATTCAAACATTCAAATTACTTTAAAAAAATACTCTCCTATATCAATATAGTGTTATACTATATCTGCATTGCATTATAACAGCTAGAAGGAGATTTAATGAGTCAACACTCATGCAGATGAAAACATTGGCATATTATCTAGACTCAAGGCAGGGTAACCTATGAAGATGATATTGTGGACTCCAGATGTAAATTAATGGCAAAAATTGTGTTGTTTGGTAAATGTCTCGTTTACCCTTTCTTCATCAATTGTTCATATCATAAGAAATTTTCCCTTACAATCTAAATATATCATAATTGTACAGACCTGTTCTCTAACAATGGTATTCGGAGATGTAATCTGTCTGACAAGTTCATGGGTTACTTCATGGAAGGATTTCTTTTGAGCAGCCAGTAATTCTTCATTCTCCTTACATTGTGATATCTCCTGAGAACATTTGACTAACATGTTCTCCAGATTATGTTTGGCTAAGTCTACAGCCCCACTGGATACCTCCTTAGTTAGGTCCATCATAACAAACAATAAGGCTTTCAGGAATGAAAACTGGTGTTCCAGGACCCAGTTCAATGCCATCCTCTCATACATAAACTTTATAGCAAGACATCTGAAATTTGAATTGAATGTGGATGTAATTAATTTTAAAATGCATTTCAAATTGATTTTATAAATGTTAAACAAACAAGTTATAAAGTTTTTTTTTTTTTCAAAAGACAATGTCAAACAGAGCAAAAGCATACCAAAGTTATTAGATTTCTTTAGTTACGGCAGAATTGTTTATTTAACTCTCTTAAAAAATCATGTAAACAAAATTGAATGTTAGTTTTTTTTTAAATTGTGTTCATGACTTATGATTGCTATGCTAGGTAATTTGTTTGTGAAATTGGCCACTAATTTCATCACACAAGAGAAAGTTCAGAATTCCAGTTACTGTTGGAATATTACAGCAGAAACATTTTTCTTTATTTCATTTACAGTACTTACCCTCCAACTTTTGCATACCAAGCTCTCTCATAACATAATGAACACATTCTTTCTACCAAATAATCAAATGTTGGTAATCTGCATGCCTGTAAACAAAACATTACACCAGCAGTTTAAACTATAGTCAAATTTAGTTTTCACACAACAACCTATCATTGTCAAATATTTAACTTCCAAATTAGCTATACGTGATGGCATGTTATCATGGTAAAAAAATTGTGATTGATTAAGAACTTACACTCAAAACTAACAAAATAATAACTCACTATTGAACTACATTTTCTTTACCAGATATTAATTTTGATAACTTTACTGACAACAGTTCTCACCTTTTCTTTCGACCCCAGTATTGTGGTGGCAGTATCTAGTATCAGAACTAGAGCCAGATTTCCTGGCTTACACAGCTCTTTCTCTTCATGTCCCATAATAACAGCCAGAGCATCAATCAGGATCTGTGTATCCATACCATGTAATTTGTTCTGCTTATCTCCAACAGGAAATGCACCTGGAAAAGATATCCTTCCTTAAATGGTGCACTTGTATCAAAATTTGTATTGGTAGCAAACAGTATAGAAAAGAAGAGAAATATTGATAGACCATCATTAAAAGCACTTCGGTTTGTCTAGTGCATGTAGGGATGACACGTCAAGAATCAATACATCATATCCCTTCTTTTCTTTTATAATAATAAAATAAAATATGGGATAATGTCAATGAGACAGCAACCAAATATACCATATTTGTACTACAACTGCATTTAGTTTTCACACTTTTCACTGTGTGTTTGTGTGGACAATTAAGTCTACTCAAAATTAAAATATTATTTACTCATTTCTATTTATATCTTGATTTGTACAGCTTGCTTTTTTATCAACTCTCCTATAGGAAGTAGATAAATAACATATATATATCCTAGTATGAGAAAAGTAATACCATTGCATACCTGTCTGCTGAGAGATAGATATCATTGTGTAATGTCTGACCATACAAGCCATGAATGGCAGTGCTGTCTGTCTTAGTTCCTTGATAGCAGCAGCAACTGTGGAAGAAAAAAACTAAATCGAATGAAAATTACAAATATCATTTTAGAAATTTATAAAATTAAAAGTTCTTCTTTAATTCACAACTAACTGGAATGGCTACTTAAGAAAATATGTATATTTACCTTCCTGTGAAGCATATGTGGTTACACTTATGTAATAAAATTATCATTAGACATGTCAAAGGCTATCTAAATATTTTGTTTTATGCCTCATCAGAATAACTCTAACAAAATGTTTCATACATCAAATATTTTTGAAACCAACTTAAATTCTCCCAATATTTTTATAAATTTATCTATTGTATTTACCAAACATTCCAGTTAATGCCTGTTCATGGACTTTTCTGGAGTGAGAGTCTGGTGTTTTATACAATGGTCCAGTTTGGAGTGGCACCTCATTTTCTGTAAAACTGAAATAAAAGATAATATAACTATATTCTAATAATATTAGAATTGATTTTTATGTAATTATATAAGGTATTCATTTGTTTTCAATAGTAAATTTGTATTACATTGTTTATTGTACTACATTGTAAATTTATATAACATTGTTTATTTTTATTACATTGTAATTTTGTAATACATTGTAAACTTGTATTTACTTTGTTTAATTTGTATTACATTGTAAATTTGTGTACCTTTGCTACACTGTATTATACTGATAATTTGTATTATATTATAAATTTGTATTATATTGTAAATTTATATTACATTGAAAATTTTATGTTTTACTGAGTTTTTGTAAATAAGTATTTCTAACAAACTTCTACAGAACTGTTCCAATGACCTAATAAATTATGGTTAATATTTCTACAACCTACAGAGAGTTTTTTTTTTACCTTTTGATAACAGATAAAAGATAATACACACCAGATATCTACTGAACAGTTACTTTTGCTATATTCAAGCAACTAATGAAAACCTTTTGGTGTATATCAATAATCTAATCTATTCTGATATATGCAAATGGTCTACTGAAATTTGACAATCTTTACTTTTAACACTAGAGATTGGATTGTAAACCTAAACTTCAGTGGAAAGGATTGCTGTAAATTTTAAAATCTGAAATGAATCAAAAGAACCTAACAAAAAGGATGACTATTTTTTCATTACAAATTTTAGCTCTTATTTTCTAGATTCTCATATTTTGTGAAAATGTTTACCTTACCTTGTGTGAGTGAATAGATATGTCAGTGTTTGTTTATCATCTTCCAAATTCATGACAGATACAAGGAAACATTTAATAAGTTCCCAAGCTTGACGTCTTACAAAGTTCTCTGTTGTACTACATTTCAAGGCCGTCAATGCTGCATCTATAGCCTGAAAATATATGAAAATCATGTAACAAATGTCACAGTTTATATTCAGAAGTTTAATAGGTTGTCATACAGAAATGTGTCATAAGAAAGCATAATTAAATAGGAATAAAATTGAGAATGGAAACGGGGAATGTGTCAAAGAAACAACAACCCGACCAAAGAGCAGAAAACAGTCCAAGGAAGTATCTATGACCAATATCTGAAGCTGTTGTATGCATTCATATTTATCAAATGTATAACTGTGATACTATACCTTTTCTACAGGAAGTGTTATAGGTGTTTTGGAGTCTTGGAAGTATATTGTAATACATGGACCTGCTGTTTCTTTGTCATTATACTGAAGCTGGAAAAGAAACAAATAAAATACAGTTACGGTATTAAATTTGCAGGTAATTGATTTTTTGTTGTCATTATTTTGTGGATAGAAATAAGAATTAAACTGTTAGCACAGAAATGGTTTTCAATTGCTGTATAATTAAATTGAGAACAGCTGTTTGATGGATTTTGCCATTTTATGTTCATCTTAAGTGATTATATATTACATACTTAGTACTACTATATCTTATCTGACTAAAAAAATTTAACATTGAATATTGTAATTACTTCAAGTTCAATAAGAGCATCATTCATAAATCAGAACTTACAATCACACAAAAATCATTACAAATATCAATGCTCTATCATAAGGAATTCTTCATAAAAATCCATGGACTTAGTATCATAAGTAATTCTTCATAAAAATCCATGGACTCAGTATCATAAGTAATTCTTAATAAAACACATTGACATTTGAACAGTGAAAAATGCATAAAAAGCTGATGTCAGTTGCATGTAATTATAACTGAGGGGTTGTGATCTAATATTAAACTTAAACTTATAGATATGGGTGCTAATACAACAAGATACTATATAATAAGGGTCTTATAATAGCACTGCCTCATACAAAAAGTCAGGAAACATTTCTACAAAATTTTAAGTCATAATAAAAAATAAAACTCAAATTCTGCTTGTTACTGAAATGCATGGATGCTTTATAACAATATACCATATAACAATGCTCTACCATAAGCCTTTGTTCTGAGATCATTTATTTAGAGAGAACAATGTCGTACGAAAAATCAACATATCTGTCTAGCCTTTTAGACTATGTCTCAAACAAGCCATACCCCTTGCATTAAACAGTGTACAGCAACGGTCATATTTGCCAGTCATGACCTAAACTGAAAGCTATTTGTCCTAAACAGCAAATTGGGATTTAGGACAAATTTTTTTTTTTACAGAAATAATTTCGGTCATTTCATGATGATTGGGTTTCTTAATCGCCATTTTGCATTTGTTTTTGTTTTGTTTTCCCCTTCCTGTAATAAAACTGCCACTCCAGTATAGTATGATAATCCTGAGTGCCCTCCTAATAACCATATAATGACTCCGGGATATTTGGCTAATGATCGCTTATCAATTTTTACCTGTGTTTTAATTCACACCTGACAGTGATCATAAGCTCAGAACTAGTATTATTGAAATGTTAATATTCCATGACAACTTTCTTCATTATTTAATTACTTGTCAGCAAAAACAATCTAATTTAAATGGGACACAGATGATGCCCCCGCTTGCATATCATATAAAGTTATAAAGGGACATAACTGAAGAACGGTAAAAGTGACGCTACCCAAATTTGTCCTTGATCTGAGTTTTGTGGTAATAAGTATTGTGAATAAGTCTCATAACATTTGGTTGAGGCTAACTTAAGTTAGGGAACAGAAACGAAAAATTCAGCAATTTTTCCATTTTTAAACAGGCATAACTCTAGAATGGTAAAAGTGACACCTCCAAAATTCAAAGCTGATCTGTATTTTGTGGTAATAAGCATTGTGTATAAGTTTCATAACATTTGGTTGAGGCAAACTAAAGTTGAAAAACGGAAACGAAAAATTCAGCAATTTTTATGTTTATAAAGGGGCATAACACAAGAACAGTAAAAGTGACGCCACCCGATTTCGAACTTGATCTGTATTATGTGGTAATAAGCATTGTGTACAAGTTTCATAAAATTTAGTTGAGGCAAACTAAAGTTAGAGAACGGAAACCAAAAATTCAGCAATTTTTATGTTTATAAAGGGGCATAACTTAAGAACAGTAAAAGTGACGCCACCAAATTTCGAATTTGATCTGTGTTTTGTGGTAATAAGCATTGTGTATAAGTTTCATAACATTTGGTTGAAGCAAACTAAAGTTAGAGAACGGAAACCAACTTTGGGACGTACGGACAGACATACAGACGGACAAGGGTAAAACTTAATGCCCCCACCGCTATGGCGGGGGGAACAAAAATGAAAACGAGTGAATCTGTGAGCTACTGCTCACTAATGATACCCCGCCCCGCTAAAAGTATAAGGTAAACAGGAAGTTGTTGAGTGATGAATCTGAAAACGCATCACACGGTATAGCTGACTCATATAAACCCTGAAACCAATTTCAGAAATCCTTGTATTGTAGTTCCTGAGAAAAATGTGACGAAAATTTTCAACTTGGCTATCATGTGTAAAATGATACAAGTGTTTGGTAAACAGGAAGCTGTTGAGTGATGAATCTGCAAATGCATCACACAGTATAGCTGACTTATATAAACCCTGAAACCAAATTTCAGAAATCCTTGTATTGTAGTTCCTGAGAAAAATGTGACAAAAATTTTCAACTTGGCTATCATGTGTAAAATGATACAAGTGTTTGGTAAACAGGAAGTTGTTGAGTGATGAATCTGAAAACACATCACACGGTATAACTGACTCATATAAACCCTGAAACCAAATTTCAGAAATCCTTGTAATGTAGCTCCTGAGAAAGATGTGATGAAAAATATTCATGGGACGGAAGGACGGACTGACGGATGGACGGACAGACAGAGGTAAAACAGTATACCCCCACTTTTTTAAAGCAGGGGTATAACTAGATTTAATTTATGTAGAAAAGGGTAATTTTTCACGAGTCAAACATGTGCTTTATTTACTATGTAATATGCATGCATGAAATTGTCTTCACCAGATTAGACGCTTAATCGTTAAATGCAAAATGATTTCATGTTGAATTGAACGAGTGCAACTAGTATCTGTTATATTCAAACACTTTCAAAGGTCATAAACATAAAAATCCAGCGATTTCCTATCAATTTGATAAACAGAACGAATCCTCGTCTTCAAAATCGAAAGAAACATTAGCGATGTCTGTTTACCATTGTTAGTCATTAAAATCAATTAATTTTAAACTGTTGCATTCCATATATCGTTCTTGAATGTTTTTAGAAAAACAGTAAGAAACTTCATGAAGAAAATGCGATGAAACAGTCAATACAAATTCATTGATGCTATGAATCTAGTGTGAATAATTTCGAGTTTGAAAAATGAGCTCCAACTTTTAAGTCAGCTGAAAATGATAGAAATTGTATGAAAAAATTTCCGGGTACATGGTGTAGAGTCTGTTTTTTTTAACAGGATTTCTGCAATCAACTGTACTTACTCTCTGGGGTTCTCGTAACATTTTCCTGTTTCCACCACCAAATTTTCCCAGTACTCTGAATGCTACATGAGCAATATTATCTACTGGATTTCTCAAGGTCTTCCATAAAGCCTTTAAAAGGAAATTTTTTATCAGTTACATTGTTAGTACAGTAAATCAGATAGAGTATTTTGTATTATTTATGTAATGAGCTAGAACTTAAGGCATTTCTTGTGGACAAGGTGACAAGATTTTAATCACTATAAGACTAAATGACCAACGTTAACTATATACCATAGCTACTTCATACTGTACGGTATAATTATTTTATTTACAATTAGAAATTAAAGAACCTTTGTGAGCACACTCACATACCCAACGTCACCACATAAGTGCAAAGGGCATAACTCCTAGAAAAAAAATTGAATCATAATTTCCTGTCGATATGCACATCTACATAGTATGTCCTTATTATCTATAAAGTATCATGAAATTCTGTTGTGTGGTTTCAGAGGAGTTGCGATGACAAGAACAGGACTGACGGACGGACGGACAGACGGGTCAAAAACATTATACCCGATGCAAAAATTGTGTGGGGTATAATAAGCAACACTACTATGTAAATTGCCTATAACTGCTTACATCCACTTCATTTGAACTTTAGTGGATAGTTGTCTCTCATTGGCAATCATACCACATCTCCTTATTTTTATATTTGTGAGGAACAAAATAGTAATATAAATATAGTACTCATAGCCATTCAAATTTGTAGTTTTATCTAACCAGCCTCCAAATCGTTTTAAAATATTTCAAGAAAGATAATTCTACTTAAAAGTATCATACCTGCATAAGTTCAGCTCTGACAGGTTGGATATGATCATACAGGAAGTCTGGTTGTAAGTTATCTACACATAATTCTAATGTTCGCAATCCCTACAATACATACAACACTGTCACAGTCATAGTATATATGCATCTCAGTTCTAATAAAATTTTAAATCAATACAAAACTTGCTCAAAATACAAATGGTTATAATAACTTTCTATTCTAGTGTAATATGTATTTCTAGTTCAAGCCCCACATGTTGCTTCTAGTTAATGGAACATACATGTACATGAGATGTTTGCTTTGTATTATCATACACATATAAATATCAAAGTCCTCTGCACATTTTTCACATTTTTTGTCTCTCATTTTTTTGTGAATGTGAGATACATTGTAAAGCACAAGTTATTTTTTTACTCCAATAGATGATTCAACATGAAGAAAAATAAAGTTAGGGGTTTTGATTGCAAAAAAATTGGTATATTTGACTTTTGATATAGTTTTTCACCTAACAATCTCTTTCCCAAAGAAAGCTGAAATGCAACCCTGCTATCTATTTACAAACAACACTGACATGTTACCTGGCTAACTAAAGTCTGTGATCCATTTAGTGCTGATACAAGTGGATCCATTAACATTGGTAAGTAAGGTAAAAGGGAACTCAAACGGACTGGCACAGTCAAACAAAGCTCTACAAATAAATCTTTCATATGCTGTCGATGTAAACCACTCTGTAAACTGTTTAATCCTGAAATTTATTAATTCAAATTCAATAATTTTTCAATTTCAAGTTAAAAAACAGATTTTTTTCCTGCAGTTAAAGCACTGACCACATCATTAACAATTGAATGAAATTCAGATTGCTTTAAAACATGATCTCTGTATTTTAATAACTCATAGAGTATTATTCAACTAAAAGTTTTCTTTTTCGAAAACAGAATTTGAAAGCTTGATATATAAATGTGCACTGTTTTAAATCAGACATCTTATATTGTGCAATCTTCTTGGCTTAAATAATTCTCACCTTGCAGTAGATTTGGAAGTAATGGTAGAAACTCCTGATACAAAAGATCATGACTTCCTCCTCCTATTGACCTAAATAATGCCCTAAGTAACAGAAAATAGTTGTAAGGTTCCTTAGCACTCATGGCTAACTCCATAGATCTGTTCACTATTACATGCAGATGAGGCTGTGAATACACAATACATGAAAATTATAAAATTAAAATTACTGTCTGTTGAAATATCCTTAAAAATCCTTTTTTCAAAAGAAATATTAATAACACTTAATTTTTATTTTTTTTTATTTAAATTTGTATTGATCCTTTATCTACTCAAAGATTTATATTTGTATTATTGAAAATAACATGAAAATGACTCAAATAATTCTCAAATATTTTTTTAATTCTCAGCTTGTAAGTTTTGTTGCTTTCTCGTAAATAAATGACAGTACAAAGCATCCAAGGTTTTCATTAACATAAATGCTGTACAATACCTTATGGTTTCTTTTTATAAAAAATTCCTTTTTGAGGTATTCGAATACACCAGGGAAAAAAACTTCAAATACAAGACCCTGTTTTAAGAATATTTATAGAAATCCATTTAGTGCTGATACAAGTGGATCCATTATCATGCAATGCTTTCTAAACAAAATTTCAACCTTGTGTGTAATAAAGAAAATAAATAATATACAAATTATATACCTTCAGCATTTGTTCATTTTCTGCAGCAAATAATGAAACAGAACCAAACACCAGTTTAAACAACTTCAGGTACAAGTTAGATCTGTCCATATTAGCTGTAATACATAAAGGTATCATATACATACAATTAGGTGGACGAAAAGGGGGAAAATACCGAAGCACCATAGGAAAGTTACTGTTTTGTTTTTGTTTTTGTTTTGGGGGGGGGGGGGGGCAGTTGATGGGGTTGATGGAAACTAAAAAGTCTTCTTACAACTTACGATTAACCGAAAACCAAAAAACTACCTACATTCCCGACTATTAACAGAATTCAGACTTTCTATTATTGCTCTGACCTGACCTGTCAACCAAATGTGTATAGATCTACCAAAGACTGGTAATGATCACAACTTTTCCCAAAATTTCAGTGTATTTTTTATAGTACAATAATTTCTACAAATTTCAAATCCTCTGCCATTCACATTTACCTAATTGTACTTGTAAAAACAATTGAATATAGAATAAAGACATATAAATATAAACATTCGATATGATAAGTGTTTTTTTTATAACTGTGTGATTCATCTATAGAAACTGAGTGTCATTTGTGACAAAATTCTAACATTGTATATTAAGTATACATTCGATACTTTATAGTAACTTACATCCCATTTCTTCTAATCTTGCCAGTAAATAGTCCACCAGTATTGTAGCAAATGTTGGTGATGTTGTGGGATTGGCTAAGAAAGAATTAGCTACTATCTGTAAAATATAATACAATCATGAATCATTGATGCTTATCAATTATGAAATGCAAAATCAAATATATTTCTATAAACAAAATGTTTTTAATACTGGTAGATAATCATTTGAAATGGGTCTTGCCCTCTTGCATTTTAGAATAATTTGTAACTGATAAATAGTAATATATTTAATAATAATTTATCTGTATGGCATATCATCTATGACTATTAGTGTTAGTTTAAATATTATAACTTAATCCAAACAGTTACAATACATTTGTATGGTCGAAATATAAATAAATTGCATACCTGTAGTGCATAATTGTTATGGATTCTGTCAACCATGTACTGAAAGAAAAGAATCATTAGTAAGTAAATTGTTTATCATAAAGGCATGTGCAATACAGCATAAATTTCATTACGGTACAAAATATACTCAAATGAGTTCACATCACAGGTAAAGGTCAATTTAAAATTCGAGAGAAAGTACATATCTTGTTCAACTAAAAGTATTTGAAATGTTAAAAATAATAATTTGAGTAAACTGGTTGTTTTCTATGGTAAAGTCCCACAGGTAAATATTTAGCTATTTTCCTGGGTTGTTGACAAGGATATCCTGCTCCTAAACTAAGCATTATATAATACATTTGTAAGTTCTTACTGTGATATCATTGTGTCTATTACTGTTGATGAAATATGTCCTTGAACTTACCAATATGATTTATAATTCATTAATTCTTCTTTTTGTACTCTTATTGGGGTGTAAAAGCTCTTCATACTAAAAATGTGTGCCTGTTTAATGCTTTTACAACCCTATAAAATTACAAAAAGATGCATTCAATTCTTATATAATGATGATTACATTTATATAGATCATCTAATATTGGTATCTGATAGTAAATAAATGAATTTTCAAAGGTTATAAACTGAAGCATCTACAATAAAATAACCATTTCTTGGCCACAATGTTGATGCACACAAATCTATAAGTTATGGGCTATTCCAGAATTACATGCATTGGGGGCACGAAAGGCACCTTTTTAGACTCCAACCACCCATAATATTAAATTTCCATTTTACTTACAATCCTTACAAAGTTCTGAGAAAATAAAACAACCCACAATTAATTAATTTGAGTGCACCCCCATCCCCACAACCACAGTCAATTTTGGAACAGCCCTTGATCAAATTACCTCAACTGTTGTGGAAAATATTTCTTTAAATGTCTGAGTGTGCATCATGTTGAACTGAAATAAAAACCAACAAACATGGTGTAATATGTCACATATCAACAAACACACTGTCACAGTGAAGAATTTTCAAGATAAGTTGTCATTTGAGGTCTGATAAGTTTTTTTTTAAATATAAAATGTGTATCTTAAAGTGAAAGTTACACAGAACAAATGTTAAATTTTCCATCAAGACATTTCGATAAAGTGACACTGCAAAGTGATTAAGGTTATCAATTGTGAGCTTGTCTTATCAACAGACTACAATGACCTCTTGATAACTATTTTAAGTTGCCATATTGTCAGTTTGCTGTCCCTCCAACATTTTTTCAATATCTTTGTATCGTTCTTATTTTCTGAAAATGTTGATGCATGTTGAAAGGCATATTTTTAAAATTTTTACTCTGGTTCAATTATGGCAAGCCATCATACTTTCTGTTGTATTTGTTCTTACTATTTATATACTTAGAACATTTAAATACCATTAGCATGTTTTCCTAATTTTCGTATCATAATGACCATTTTTTTTTTAGTTTGCTCCTAAATACCATAGAAAACTTACCACACCTGCGAAGTGTTCTAATACCTCTTTCTCTTCTTTAGTTCTTACACTCTGAACACTGAAATGGTATAAAGCAGTGTTATAATATTGGATTATTACATGAATATTGGTGAATATTGACAAGAATAGATTTTTATATTGCATGAACATGCAAGTTCAATATTTGTTCTAAAAGGGATAATATTTACCATTATTCATGCATTAACTCTTTTATTGTATAGCAAAGCATGAAAAACTGTTGCAAACATATTTTTGTCACTGTGGACGTTAAAAAATTGAAACTATATTTGCACTAGTGCAATATAACAGAATATGTACGCTAACTATACGTTAAGTTCTGCGGAAAATATTATATTAGATGAGGAATCCAGCACAAAGCCTCAGACTAATATCAATTGCCAATGAAAACCTTCATATTCTTATTCTTATAGACTAGTTTTACACGAAATTATCACTTATTTTACATAAATAAAACAATTTTCTATATCAATTTCAGAAATGACTTACACTGCTGGTCTAATTACAGCCTGTCCAGTGGGTGACACATTAATAGTATAGATGTCTAATGCTTGAAGAGCATATTTCACAAGTCTTATGTAAACTAGTGTTTCTTTTGGCAAAAATTGCTTTGCTGGTATTGTTGTGGCTTCTGAAAAATAAAAAGATGGAAACATTAGGTTTTTTAACAAAACATGACTAAAAAAAAAATCAACATTACCTAGAAAGGGTGAAGACATAAATAAACAATCCTTTATTAAGCACTGACGACTTCGTTGGTCATTGTTTCAAATTAAAATCTCATTTTATTTGATTGAATTATTGTAATCTGTATAACTTACCTGTTCCAGTCGCTTTACATGAGACAATACCCCAGGTTATAGTTTTTACTCCACACACTAATGTCTTCACCAGACTTCTACAGTCATTAACTGTATAGGTACTGGTCTGCCCTGGGGTAATACCAAATCTGTTGGTAGATTTATCTGGCCACACCTTGTCGTCTTTATCTTTAGAGGAGGGATCATTCAACAGAGAAGAAGGCAGTTTATTGTCCAGTACTGTATCGGGTGAAGGTTGTTTCTGTGGTTCTAGTACTGGTTTGGTGTCCACTTTTGTATCAACTTTGGAATCAAATGTTGAAGTCTGGGTAGTCTGGGGTTGTTGTTTACTGTAAATCAAATACAATCATTGAGACAGGACCTTATGTGAATAAAATATGATATGCTTAAAATTGTCAAAAAGAACAATATCTAATCATCTTCATTTTTTTTTATTGCAAATGGTTTTCATTTACATACATTTTATTTACATTAAGACTAACTTTTTTTTTAAGTGACATTTAGTTGAATATAAACAATTTACAGATACTTATATAGTACTTACCATTTCTGAAGAATCTGTGGAAGCTGTATTTTAGCTATAGACTTAAATTTGAGTACAAAGACTTCTAACATTCTCATTAATAATTCTCTACCCTGAAACAAAAAATATATATCCCTTAAATTAGCACGGTTTAAAAGTTACAATATTTAAAAAGAACAAAATGGAATTGTTATCATTTAAAATCATGGATATTCAAATTTTTATAATTTATTTTACTTGTATAGAAGTAGATGTATTTTGTTTATTTTTACATGAACTGTAAAGTTTGAAAATAAAACATAAATTTAAACAACTTTCTTATATCTACTCACATTTCCATTGTCTTGTTCACTCTTAGCACGGATACATTCCACTAAGTTAAGTAAGAGTTTACATGACATGGTCTGTATACTACTGGGTAAGGAATCATCATGGACATTCTTGGAGAACAGATTTACAGCCAGTGACAAATTACTGAGTGGCAGAGATTGTCTAACATGATGTACTAAGTCTGCTAATGTACTGTAGGCCAATGGTCTGTAATATAAGGTGACACAACATGTAGTTTTATTATAGATGAACTTCATTTACTTTGAAATTAAAACAATAATCAGTCCTCAAAATTGTGCGATGATTAGCAAATAATTCTGCAAATAAAACTTTTATTGACTTAAGATAGCTATAAGTGTATCAATTACATTTTCTGAAAGCAGATTTGATTAATTATGGAAAAAACAGCATGATACTTCACATTTTTATACAACTGGTTTTAATTTTCTAGAAAAGCAGTTTACTTCTAAACTATGATTTATGCCCTGTTCACTTTTCAAACTATAATGTATACCTTAGAGATTCATATGTGGTCCAGCCAGTTCCAATAAGCACATTCTCATCAAATAGCTGATCTATACAGGTTACAAATTCTGAAAGCAGAAATAAGAAGATACCAATTGTTTTGCTTAATTTCAACATTGGGATTCCTTAATTTAACTTTATATTCACCATTATTTCATGACTCTGAGTATTTCAGTTCAAAATAAAATACTTACTATTGCGTAGATCTGTAGCTAAGATATGTCTGGCTGCAATTAATAATTCTTTGCGCAAATGTGCCACTTCCTGTGGACAAAATGTCAACAATCCCAGCAGGCCTTTCACCATTTGTGCAGAGTGAGTTTGAACTTGTTCCTGAAATAAATATTATCTGAATTTTAAGTCCAGAATGCTATTAGTAATTGATTTTCTAATCAAAGCTTTATCATATGCATATTAATTTACTCCCTTGGAATTTGTCTAAATCCTAATTAATCCTTATAAGAGTTGGAATATTTTATTTGACAACATTTAATAAGTAAATTTCAATGATGTTCATCTTTTCTACAATGTTTAGATGCAGTTCTTCTTTATTTCAGTATCACACAATTAACTTCAATTAACTTTTATAACTACCTGGTATATTCTGATAATATAGGCTAAAAATGATAAGGTTTTAATCTGAGCTGCTATGAAATCAACAAATATCTCCTTGTTGAAGGATGGACTAGCCCTGTAAAAAAATTTTTTTTTAAAATAAACATATGTCATATATTAATATAATGGCTTTGGAATTAAAAGAAGACAACGAACAGGAAAAAAATGAGCTAAAATTGGTTTTGCCAGATTCCCCCTAAAACATAACGATGAATCAACCTTTTTTCTTGTGATTTAAAATCCTATTATTACTTAGGAAAAGTGAAATCAAGTTTTTAACCTAAAAATATAAACTTATTGAATCATGATAATTCAAAATAAAATGTTTAGTTCCTTTTGAGCTCAATACAAAGAAGCATCAGTATTTAATCTGGATGTTTTAGCAATATTTATTGTAAAAAATTAAAAAAAAACGCTTTAATCAGAATAAAAAGGATGCAGATATGCAGAATTGTGAGATTCTGTACAAATGTAACTTACCTTTGAACAGCAGATGGTTGTAAGATAATTGTATTCATGATAAGTGGAATAAATTCTGCCACTTCTTGGTGAACATTAGGTTTATATAATTGATACATTAACACAACAATTATAGGCAGCTCTGCTAAAACTTTGAGGGACAAAGTTCCTTTGGGTATTATATTGTACTGAAATAAAATAATACTAAGTTCTGAGTATCAATTATAGTTGCATAAGGTGCATCTGTTTTATAGAAACCATGTTCTTTTTAACTAGACTAACACTTTCTGCTAAAGACAAATGGTTAGCTCTTAAGGATTTTAAACTCAGAATATACAATATACAATATATACAAATAAACTTGTATTTTGTATACAGTCAACTCTCAATATCTCGAAGTCAGCCGGACCAGAGAAATATTTCGAGATACCCGTAGTTCCACTTAAATGAATACCGGATGTTTGACAGACCAAGGGATACAACTCTTGATTAGCTTGTTATGGCTAAAATAAATCCAGATGAATATGAGTAGAGGATCAATAGTCTGAGATTGATGTATCTATATGTAATGGTCTTTTATTATTACAATAAAATTATATGATTTTTCGTCTCTTATTTACTTCTTTGTACAGTTACAATTTTTTCCTGTGGTTTTTAGCAGAGAGAGTAATTTCCAATCGATCTTAGCGTGAATTAAAGTCGACAAAATTGTTCATTCATCAGGAGTCGAAATACATATATTTATATGGAACAAAGTTTGGGACCACGGGAAAACTTCGACTCATCTGATATTTCGAGTTCAAGACAACAAAGTTAACTGTATTTGTATAACAAACAATTGGATATATGGATCCTAATTTCAGCTGAAAATTACAAATGAAAGAAACTAAAGTCACACATATGTATAGCAAACACTTTGGCTGACAGAGACCCAATATTGCTACACCCTTTGTCCTATCTCTTTTCAAAACGGTTTAACATGAAGAACTTTAAAAGATGGTAACTTCAGAGTTATCAAAATCCCAACAGTAATAACAAACTTACTGAGATATTTTGATTGTCAGCGTTTTTCTTGTCTGTAAGAATTGTAGTTGTAGTAAAAGTCTCCTGTAATAACTGGTCAACATTTATCTCTGTTACATCTTTCACTTTAATTTGATTCCTTGGTTCAAATATTTTTGGTAAATGGTTTGGTAAACCATTGTATATATTTTTAACAAACTGCAAAAAGTCTTTGATCTGCAAAACAAATATAACATCATTCAATGTGTATGCTTACATCCACGTCATTTGGCTTCTAGAGAATAGTTGTCTCATTGGCAATCATACTGCATCTCCTTATTTTTATATGTATTACTTTTGGCTTCTCTAGAATAGTTGTCTCGTTGACAATCATACCACATCTCCTTATTTTTATATGTATTACTTTTGGCTTCTGGTGGATAGTTGTCTCATTGGCAATCATACCACATCTCCTTATTTTTATATGTATTACTTTTGGCTTCTGGTGAATAGTTGTCTCATTGGCAATCATACCACATCTCCTTATTTTATATGTATTACTTTTGGCTTCTGGTGAATAGTTGTCTCATTGGCAATCATACCACATATCCTTATTTTTATATGTATTACTTTTGGCTTCTAGAGAATAGTTGTCTCATTGGCAATCATACCACATCTGCTTATTTTTATATGTATTACTTTTGGCTTCTGGAGAATAGTCGTCTCCTTGACAATCATACCACATCTCCTTATTTTATATGTATTACTTTTGCAACTAATAATTATCATCTTAAATCTGCAATATTGGCATCTGGATATCAATTAACAATAAGACAAAAATATCCTTAACCTGTGTGGTCATCACCTTCATTTATTCTTATCTTAACACATGAAAGAATACTTTAAATCAGTTACAGCTCTTGACATTTAAAGTATGAATTTTTAGTCAAAGCTTGATGGCTAAACATTTTTTACATAATACTTGATTTAAAGGATGAAGAATATTTAAAACAAAATCATTAACAAAATAAATACATTCAGAAACTTCAAATTGCACCATTAGATTAAAATCATATTCCATATTCACAGAAACAAAATGCTCTTGAAAAAAACATATTGAGAAAAAAAACCACACCTACCCAAACTATTAACATATTCTAAACATAAATAAAAATGCTTTTGAAACAGTGTCATCTTGAATGTTACAGACACTTAAACTTATCGCATTCTATATGGTTATTTAGTTGTATTTTATTAATCTAAAATATTACAAGTGAGAAAATAATGACTACCAAAATCTCTATGGCCATGATGACAACAGTAAACTTACCTCTTCATTATACTGAGGTCTGTACTGTTTATGTAATTCTATAATAATTCTCAGGCATACAATCACATTTTCTTCATTCTCAATCTGAAATTTATAATTCATTCAATCAGAAAACATTTAACAAGAGAAAAGTTTAATATATAATATACATATGATTATCATAGATTTCTATGAAATGAACCTAAGCGAAAAATTATATCAAAGTCACTCAAGCATGGCATGGAGTCAAAATGACTTTAATGGTAATGAACAAGGCTATACTACGTAAAAGTAGGTTTGTAAACTCATTGAGAAATGGACTTATAAAGATAATACTGTGTGATCTAAATGGCATCGAGGATATTAATCAATGGTGTGACATAAACACCTGTTTTTTTCATTTAGATTAGAAAGCACAATGTAAAATACTTTTTCATATATTTATAAGCTTAACCAATCATTAATTTTACCTTCAGAAGTTTGAACATTAGAGATAAAATCTGTTGCACATATTTCTTCAGATGCTCATTGCTTGGTATACGGTGAATGATTTCCAGCATCAGCTTCCGTAATTGCTATAATAAATTGAACTTAAAAGTTAGAGCATCTTAGCAGAAAGTTTACAATTGACATACATTCAAAGTATTAGACAGAAAGGTCAGCAAGTTCAGTGTTCAGAAGAAATTATAGAAAGCCTCATATCTATTATAAAAGACCTTATAGTGTTATAAACATATTTGCAAAGTAAAGCATAATTCATGAAACAAAGGCTATCTTTTGGACTAGGAATGAATATATAATAGTTTTCATGATAATTGCCAAATATGCAATAAATGGTTAAAAATAATTATTCAAAGGCAGTTACTACTATACAAGGTCAAATGAAAATTTAGGTTGTTTTGACTTATATGTAGATCTTTTGATCATCAATTTTGCTGCTTACAGTTTCTATCTGTCTAATAATTTTCAAGAAAATTTGTCTGTCCAAAGGCAGAAGCCTGTAATTAAGTGGTTCTAGTTGGTTGCTGTCTGTCTTACTTGTTGTTCATTTGTAGATCTAGCTGATCATAAATCAAGCTGTTAGTTTTATCTTGTATAGTTTTACAATTTGTCATGCTGGGGCCTTTCATAGCTTATTATATGGTACGGGTTTTAATCATTGTTAACAGCATACAGTACCATTTAGTTCATCATTAAGTTTCCGAAGGATAGTTGTCTCATTGGTATTATTTCCTGATTTTTATAAAAACAAAAAAATGGTCAAAATTGTCATTAAATGGCAATAACACATAAAAGGAGATATCTGATAATTTTGAAAGAAATAGAAAATGGCTAGATCTTGGCATTCTGAGCATTTTGGCCCATCTGATTACTTTAATCTTTTACGGTTTTCAAAATATTCCACAATTTTTTTACATTTACCCTAATGTTTTAGCTTAGACATGGTGTCCACGTTGCTTGATGGCAGAAATAAAAAAAACACAAAATTTATTCTCAATACCCTAAGGACCAACTTTGGTTGAAATTGTTTTGGTGGTTTCATGACAGAAAATTTCATTAAAATGATTATGGAGGACAAATGCCTTGAGTGAAGACAAAAGCTAAAATGGCCCTTAGTGCCAGGTGAGCAAAAAAAAAACAAACACCTTTAACATATTGTGTAATTACCCTAAGCAGGTCCAAGAATTTCTGACAGAGAATATCTTTTAAAGTCTTCTTTTCCTTTTGTCATAAAATTAAATAGAGATTTACTAAAGGATAAAACCTTACATGTAACTTGTTAAACTAACATGAAATTACTCAAACAAATTCTGTTTTCAAAATTCTAATAGTAATAACCAATGGAATAATCCTATTTTAAACTGATTGGGTTAATCTAACTTAATCATTCAAAAGAACTTCTTGACATTAAATCTTGTTCTCTATATACTTTAAAGGCTTTTTTGACAATTTAATAATTATAATCCTCAAAAAAATTTCAAAAAATAATTGTACTTGGTAAAAAAAGAATTTTTAGGAAACATGCTTTAAACATCTTAATGGGGCCCAAAAAATTACTGATACCTGAATTTACCAGCATATTCTTTTAAATGGTAACTATCTTTACTTACATAACTTGATTTCTTTAAGCTTGATTTACATACATACATTGATTTCTTTAAGCTACAATTTACCTGCATATTCTGTTCAGCAATGAATTGAGGTTCTCCATCATCCAGAATTTTGAGGAATACTTTCAAGGCATCACATAAAAACTGTGGATACTGAGGTGATTGTACAACACTCTGTAAATTTTAAAGTAATGATAATAAACTTTAATCTGGCTAACATAAATTATAACAAGATGTGTCAGCAGTACAAATTTCTTGTAATCTCATAATAACTTTTATTATTTAACAATGTATACCCCTATAAATATATTTTTTTAGTTCAACATTTTAAATGGTGCTGGGTTTTTTTCTATTGAAAATGTTAAAAATCCCTGCTAACAGCCAATAATATAGTTTCAACTTTAATTTAAATTGCATGTTACATTATTACAATAAATCTACTTTAAAACAAATGATATATTATTACAATAAATCTACTTTAAAACAAATAATGTCTCAATTTAATAAATAAATAATGAAATGCATGAAAAAGCATAATTACCTCAAAGTTTTCACTTAATTCCTGAGCAGCTTTTAGCTTTTTCTCAACAACTTGAAATACAAAAATAAAATGATTATATTAGGTCACACCAAATTTATTGCTTGTTCTTCAGACTAATTCTGTTGAAAAAAGGGGAAAGAGCAAACAAACGTTTTCATTTTTATTTTCCAAATTTTTTATTACTCAGAGGCAAAAGAGTTTTTCTTCTAGCAAGCGACAACATTTTTTATAAATTTTAAAACAAAATGTATGGAATTGATCATATTCAAACAAGCCGCACCGTTTTAAAATTTATCCTACGGAAGTTTATGTCAAATAGTAAAATTTTACTAAACAAACTAATTCTTTAAGGAAAATACTAGTATTCACTTGGTAAAATTGTGGAGTTTTGAATGTAATTCAGTGTATTTTAAGGACAATTAAGGCCCAAAATCATATTATGCCTTCTCCTTTTTAAATAAACTTGACGACAGGGACATCATTATTAATGTAAAGTAATATGTATAAAGTATCATTTGACAAATTAATGTACATGTGTGTGACAGAGGTAGTCAGATCTTATCAGACTAAACTACAAGTGACCTCTACTCCTGAGAGGAGATCATCAGTGAATATTGTAATCATTCAACCTCTTACAATACCTCATTATTAAACTAAGAATCTTGTTGGTTTTTTTAAAAGTAATTATTTCATTCATAGAATATAATGGTTCATACCTATTACACAATAGCAAGTTCTATGGTCCATGTACTTATTTGAAGTAACATTTATTTTAGAAAATTTAAGGAGTTCTGAATGAAAAACAGTTTCAAGCCAATAAGGCCCCAATTCATAATATGTCTGAGTCTCCTCCTTTTAAGTTATACTAGACAACAGGAACATCTTTTTTAATGTAAAGAAATATGTATAAAATATCATTTGACAGATTAATGTATGTAACAGAGGTAGTCAGATCTTATCAGACTAAACTACAAGTGACCTCTACTCCTGAGAGGAGATCATCAGTGAATATTGTAATCATTCAACCTCTTACAATACCTCATTATTAAACTAAGAATCATGTTGGGCTTTTTAAAAATTATTTCATTCATAGAACAAATGGTTCCTACAAATACATATTTCACAGTAGCAATTTCTATGGTCATGATGGTCCATGTATTTATTTGAAGTAACATTTATTTAAAAGCAAATTTAAGGAGTTTCAAATAAAATACAGTGTATTTTTTGGACAATAAGGCTCAAAATCATATTACCGGTATGCTTTTTAATTTTTCAATCATACTCAACAACACAAAGGGAACATAATTTTTAATATAAAGTAATATATAATAAAGCATAATTTGACAGTTCAATGTATGTGACAGAGGTAGTCAGATCTTATCAGACTTAACTTCAAATGACCTCTACTCCAGAGAGGAGATCATCAGTGCATATTGTAATCACTCTACCTCTTACACATTTTGTGATTTTCAAGAAGTTGAGTTATTTTTAAATTTAAATAAACATTGAGATTGGTTCAAACGGATTAAAAGACGAGTTTAAGTATATAAACATGGTGACCTATAGTTGTAAATTTCTACGTTATTTGGTCTCTGGTGGATGATTGTCTCATTGGCAATCATACCACACCTTTTTATTTTATGGATAACTGGAACATGTGATCTGTGAAGTATGAAGTCATAACAAAACAAAAGCAATATAATATTTCCAAGAAAAATCTTTTATGTCAATATGATGAATCATGGTTAAATGCAAATCATTTAGAAAATTTTTTTTTTTAAGTAAACCATACTTCCTGGTGTAGGGTCAGCAATCAAAGCAACATAGGATTTAAATGTGGTCAGCTGGGCTGTCAAATCATGTGGACTTAATGGTGATTGCAACATCTTGATAAGTCTTTATCTGAAAATATAACAACACAAAAAATCATAAAAGTAGTCTTGTAAAATGTAAACATTTCTACATTGTGCAAAAATCAGAGACGTCTATTACACAAAGACAAAGTCACTATTGATTTCTTGTATTGAACAGTGTATTCTGTCTTTACTTAGATAGGTGTTTAGTTTTGCATATAAATGTAGGTAAATTAATTTCGTATCAAACTGTATCAGACAACAAATCCTACTTGTACCATTATTAACCTAACCATTTCTGGGTAGTATTTTTTTTAAAGTAAAGCAAATTTACAAAGCAATTGACAATTGTTAGATCATGTACAATCTTTTGATTTCTAGTATATCTGTCAGATGAAGGCTAATTCAGGAAACTGCTTTGAACACTATCAATTTACTGTTTTCAATATCCTTATACATTGTACAATGAGCCTATGTCTTTTTGGCGTACAATATATGGTTCTTGTTAAGGTGCATATTTTACAAAACCATAATAATATTGAAAATATCAATATCCTGTTGTTTCTATATTTGTTCTTAATCAGTTCTTAATTATTAACAATCAGTATGTATGTTAGATTGCATGTGTTGCAGGGATGGGGTAATTGTAATCTGTAATCGTAATCGATTGTAATTGATTACATTTTTTCCAGTAATCGATAGTAATCTGTAATCGAAGACATTTTCGATTACATGTAATCGTAATTTAATCGATTACAGCAAAAATTATGATGTAATCATCGATTACTTTTCGATTACATTTCGATTACTTTAGTAAAATAGTTTGATGAAATATAACCTATATTAAATGAAAATATGTATATGTTTTCATCACTTTATAGTACAGATAAAATAGAATGTATTAAAATGACATAAGAGTTTATCAACTGCCTTATTTCTATCTTTTGTCTCAAGCTGCAATATGATCAACCAGATCCCCTACCAAATTTTACTTTATATCTAGCTTTTCAAAACAAATGGATTTATGTGCTTGTCAATAATTCAAACCTTTTATATTAAAATAAGAAATGAGTCTTAAGTTAAGTTCTGTACTACATTAAAGTAGTAAGCTTATTTGTATTAAAATTCCTTAAAGCATAATTTTCAATAAGAGTTGAAATTTTAGCATAAAATAGATACACAGTTGATTCCTTATAATGTTATGATATAAAAATTAAGAAAGTACACAAAATCCTTACAACAATGAAACAATGGCTATGCATTGAAATTCTTTTTCAGGAATAGATATGTGTATCCCATTTTGACACTATAAATATATATTGTTTATAAATTGAATAGAGAATAAAAAAATCTAAACAAACTTCTTGCTTCACTAATCAGATGATCAAAGACTTCTAATCAGTAAGATGCAGACTTTGTTTTCATTTCAATTATGTCTAATTAAGAAGGAGATTTACATTATTTTGCCCCAGGTTATAAATTGTACTCCATTGGCAGTTTAATAACCTGTAATTAGGGTGGTTATCCAAACAAAAGGATTAATTCAGGCATGTCATTATAATTATAAATTTCGATCTTTAAAATTAGCTGAACTAATTAATTATTCTACTATTTTTACATATTTTTTTTTCAGAGGAAAATTCCAACATTGTAATTAACTATGTTAAAATATACCTGTTTTTAATTAGTAAAATACAAAAAGCTAACTTAAGTCAGTATGAAAGCAAAATTTATGAAAAAATCTACAATATATATAAGTGTTTGATGCAATGCGATGTCATCTCTCATTCATGTTGAAAGCCAAAATTTCAAGAATTTTTGAATATTTGTGATCCTCAGTAAGAGAATCCATCTAGAAAACAACTGTCAACTTAAAATTTGGAAACAATGCTTTAAATGTTGTTTTTGGTAAAGTTCTAAATTTCCACTATACAAACGTTGAGCAACATAATTGTGTTTAACTTACTTTATTATTTTTTTATAATTTTGTAGCATGTAATTGACAGTAATCAAAAAGTAATGTAATTACTTTTGATAAAGTAATCGATTGCAATCGATTACATACAAATATCAGAGTAATCGATTATTAATCGATTACACAAAAATCCTTCATGTAATCGATTATTAATCGATTACATTTGTCAGTAATCGTGCCCATCCCTGATGTGTTGTTTGTGTGGATATTGTATAAACTTTGTGATTTGTATTAATTTATATGCTCTATATGGGCCCTTTAATCAGGAATAAAGACATTTGATTTGATTTGATTTGTTCAGAAAGTGTTGATTATCTAGTTGTTGTAATTTTGTATTTTGTATTTTATGAATTTCTATACAATGTACCAAATTGGGCCTTTACCAATTGATATATTTGCGTTTGGACTAATAAAATATTGTCTATTAAAGTGTCTAAATGCATCCTGGCTGGATGATTTTCTGTCTGAACATGCCCCACTATGATCCTGTGCTTCAGCTGGACATGTCCTTGTTACACAAACTGAATCCTACCATAATCAAAATTAGCCTTCAGCTTTAAAAAAGATCCAAATATGGGGCCTCTTGTCAATATTTTTACTGGAAAGGAAATTGTTCTTTTGCACAACAATAGTTTCTTCTTCTTCTTTAAGTTTCTAGCGATCCTTCAATTATTGAAGATTAATCAATCTTGTATTTTATGAATTTCTATACAATGTACCAAATTGGGCTAGCAATATGTTACTTATGATGGTGTAATAGTAGTCTCAGGGAATACACATAGGCGGATCCAGGGGGGGCCTGGGGGGCCCGGCCACCCCCCCCTCCTTTTGTGGGAAAAATTTGGTTGATTATATAGGGAATCACTGAAGCGTGACTGGAGCGGGCCCCCCTTAGGTCAGTCAGCGGGCCCCCCCCCCCCCTTACAAAAAATTCTGGATCCGCCACTGATACACCACAAAGACTATAAAAATTATGAATTGAATTGATATATGCCGACTTCAAATGAAATTTACTTACTTTTAATGCTTCAGCATACAAAAAATAAGGGGAGATAAGTGCATCAATCTGTGAACTGATTGAAGTAATCAGGCCACAGAGCGACAGCAGAACATGGTGTCAACTTTTCTTTGTCTTTTGTCTGATTTGCTATATATATAAGATAGGTTCTTATGTTGATGCCTTACCTAAGTAGCATTCTTTATATGTTATATTTGGAGAATCTGTCTAACGCTAAATTCCGGAAATCATTGTGTTGATGAAATTCTGAACCAATGACGGATATAATCATGCACCTCTGTATTTTGTTAGTTTTTGAAATATTTTTTTTGGTCTAGACTCGACTATTAAGTTCAGTGGTGCTGTAACTATTTTAATTCTGAGTGGATGACAAACAATTGATATGCGATTAAGATGAAACCTTGCTTAGTATCAAAGATGAGGTTATTGAATCATGGGTAATTTTTCTGTTAAGTAAATTTCCCGCTTTTATTTAAATAAAGGGACGACCTGGTATAAAGAGCTGAATATAAATAAAATAATCTTATGAATATAGTCCTGTGTTGCAGAATACTCATTTTTCATCCTGTTTTGGCCAAGATTATTTATTTTCGGTTCTTACCAGACCAGGCACAGCACCAAAACTGACGTAATTATACTGAACAAATATTTTAAACTAAACAACATACTTTTCTAATATCCCTAACTCCCTAATGTCATGGTTTTCATCCAACAAAATGCAGTCAAACCCAGAAAAATTTCAGGCAATCCCAATAGACAAAAAAAATACATTCACAAAATACAGTCTTAATTCAATCTAAACGGCATCAGTATTCAGTGTGATGATGAGGTGAAACTTCTAGGTGTAACCATAGACTTTAACCTGGATTTCAATACACACATCTCAAACATTTGTAAACAATCAGCACAACAACTTATTTCTTATTTGAAAAAGAATTGGAATTTATCTAACGAGAATATAATCTATAAACTTACAATTTATCACTCCTCCATCCTTTCGAACCTCAGCTATTGTCCACTTACATGGCACTTTTGCAGTGAACAAAACACAAAAAAAATAGATATAATACAAGAACGAGCACTCAGATTTATTTACGATGACTACAAAAGCTATTATAACTCTCTACTGGAACAGTCTAAACTATTAACACTAAAAATCAGGAGAATGAGAACCACAGCATTAGAGACATATAAAATAATAAATAAAATCAGTTCGGATTTTTTTACATAATTTGATAACCATTAAATTTTAGGTACAAAGGCATAGCTGATAACCACAACCGAAAACAAGGTATGGTAGGAAAAGCTTTGGTTATGAGGCATCAAGACTATGGAACTCCTTGCCTAATGAGGCAAGGAGTCTATCAACCTTTGCCAGTTCAAAAATTATATTTCCACTACCGGGTAGCTGTTTTTCAGAAAATTGTACCTGTAGCTCATGTAAGTAATGATATCTCTTGCTGCCTCATAACTAATCTTTTAAGCCTCAGCTTGAGCTTTATTTATATTTATTTATCTATTCCTTTTTTAACTTGATATCAAATAGTTTGCTGTCTTTAGCTATAACTAATATGCTGTCTTGTCTTATATTGCTTATGCTTAAACTGTGCTTTAGTTGTTTACATTCATATGCTTGTGTTTCTACTAGTGCTTTATTTTATTGTTTTTGCATATGTGATATGTGATGATATCTTATGTTTTATTGCTTGTATGTGTTTTATGTGAATATGCTTATCTGCTCTTTGCATTGTATGTGTTTAGTCTGTATTGATTCTTTTAATGCCTGTGTATGTTTTATATATATATGTTGCTTTTCTTTTTATGTTGCATGTTTTTTGTTGTGATTGTATATATATGAAAACCCAACTTTAAATAAAGATTACTTACTTACTTACTTATTTACTTACAGCATGTATCAATTTCACTTCAATTTATTTGGATGTTTTACAAAGGCTTCTAATACTTTTAGAGTGTGTAATTACATCACAATGAAGGACTTATTTTTTCTACACTCGGCCTATATAGCTACAGCCATACTAAATGTGAAAATATGTTAAGGTAGCGCCAAGTTCAAGTCATAAAAATTTGAGCAATTCCATTTTCCTTTGAGTGTTCAAAATTTCAGTCAACCTGGCAGATAAAGGTATTTATATGGCCAACTCAAGACAGAAATACATGTACATAGGTATTTTCCAAAAGAACATGGCTTAATTTATAAAAATATAGAACATGACAAATATGGAGGTTACTGAATCTTTTCAAATTATTTGGTGAAGTTTTTTGCTTGATTGGAAGAAATGCTGAAGCATGAGATTTGAGAAGATTATAGAAAGTTTAATTAGTTTGGTTCCTGGAGAAGTAAAGTTATTGCTTTTAAAGTGCTCTAGTAGAAGTGGGACATTTAAAGACGTATCGTATCCGTATCCGATATGTTGACGTATCTGAACGTATCTATGGTTTATTGTTTAATTTATTATTAGTAATCGAAAAAAGGTAATAGAGAAGGAGAAAATAAGGAAAGGGTGATGCAAATTTTTAATCTCTTTCATTTTTAATATCTTAATTGTTTTTATAATGTTGGATCATTATTTAATTGATGTATTTTGTATGTTTACATACTTGCTTCTTATATGTCAAAATCCTGACTTAGTTACGTTTATTGCCCTGAAAGTGATGTTTCTACGATATATATTTACAGTACCTATAATACAATTATGAAAACATTACATGGACAACAACAGACAAGATTACATTTACACACATTTATCATTCACGTGATTTTCGTGTCAATCTATATACTTGTATATGTTTTAACACTCGAAATTTAATAAAGGATTGTTCGGGTAATTCATTGAAATTATAAAACAAAAAAATTAACGTTAACAACGTACTTTAACACATCAGATGAGTCGAATTAACTGATACCAATTAATAATAAATTTATAAATTAGGGAACGACCATTTATATTCAAGGGGGGGGGGGGGGGGGGGGGGGATGTGTATGGTTTTTATCTAAAAAAATTATTCATATTCCCAATTTAATGAAAAAAAAATATTCTAGTAATGCATATGACAAAAATATTATTCTAAATCCAGATTCTCCCCATACTTTATAGTGTTTAATATTGAAATAAAAATTTTTGATTGATAGCGTTGAAAAAATAAATAAAATTGATCGGGAAAAAAATTTTCTTACTCAGATAAAAAAAACATAACCCCCGCCTTGAAGCTAAATGGTTGCTTCCTTCTCAGGCAATTTTTGTTTTCTTCAAATATTAAAAATGAAAGAGACCAAATATGTTCATCACCTTTAGATTTAACATATTTATTTATAGTGGATTGGGAAACAAGTTATTGCAACTTATATTAATCCCTCTCCACTTCGCTGGTGCGAATGCTGCCTTGTAGCGGCATTAGCCTGCTCTTTTTCGAAATCTACAAGGGTGTCTTTTACGTGCAAGAGATATTGCTCTCCCTTGACACGGGTCAGCCATTTATCGTCCCCTTCCGACGGACTATCATCGTTCCTCAAGCCCATACTCAGAAATGGTGTCATGGGAGAGTCGAAAATTCGGTCCCTGAAATTTTCTCCCCAGAACGGGGATGGAACCAGGGACCTTTGTGTTTGTAGTCCGATGCGCTAACCACTACAACACGGCTCAATTTTTTATCACCTTTCTCAATTACTCCATTCTTTTCTCTATACTCGATTTTTTACCACGATTGTTGACTCAATCATCAACTATATCTGCATCATTATTTAAGAATTATGTACTAGTAACCTTTTGTTATTTCAGTGCTAAACATAAGGAATTCTTATAGAAAATCCAAAGCCTTTCCCCCTTGTACCCTTATATTTGACAATTCGGTGATTGATAGATAGCGGATTATTGCATGCAGTGCTAGCAATGATTTCCTTAAAACAAGTTTATCAACTCATATATTGGTTAAACAAACATAAATAAGGACCAATTCAAGTGCATCATCTAGGGTGCGCTCGACTTTAGTGACTCAGCACGGGATTTTTTGAAATGTAAAGAATGTTGAGGACTTTTGGTAAACATGTTTTAATTCAAATTGTTTATCTTGAAAATCCTGGAGTAGACAGGGGTCATCAACCTTAAATTCACGCATAAAAAGTGATGATGGTCTAATATCGAGTGATAAGATATAAACGAGTATACATAAATTGAAAACTAATAAAAAGAGAGACCGAAAGATATCGAACATAGAAAAAACACACATACATGTGTAGGACTCGGAGGTGCGATGGGGACCCTGAAGTGCGATGGTCACGCTGAAGTGCGATGGTCACGCTGAAGTGCTATGGTCTACCTGAGACTACTATAACACATACGATTACGAACAGCCAAATATTTCCACAAGAATATAATATATATCGCAAAAACAGGAAAGGAAATAAAACCGGAGGAGGCGTCCTAATAGCCATAAACAACAAATATTTAAGCTCTGAGGTACCAGAACTGGACACAGATTGTGAGATAATTTGGGCACGGATACAGCAGAAAGGCACAAAAGATCTATACATATGCGCCTACTATAACCCAAAAACATCGGATGTTGAAAGTCTTCAAGCATTTGAAACATCAGTCAGAAGAACCAACGCAATAAATGCATGCCAATTGATCGGAGGGGACTTCAATTTGCCAGGATGGAACTGGGCAAACAAATGTCTATACCAGGGAACACAGCACACAGAACAACATTACCATTTTGCAGAAATCCTTGACGATAACGGACTAACACAGCTAGTGCAAGAGCCTACAAGAAACAAGAACACTCTGGACCTCTTGATCACTAACCGTCCTAGCAAAATAATGAGAATAGATATCATACCAGGAATATCAGACCATGACATTGTATATGCTGAAATGAACATCAACCCAGTAACAAACAAACAGAAACAACGAAAAATCCCTCTCTACAAGAGGGCGAAATGGGACAGCATGAAGGAAGATATGAAACATCTACACAACGCTATTCAACAAGAAAGCAATACGGATAGACCAGACATAAATATGCTATGGAAAATGTTTAAAGACGGTCTTGAAACAAGTACAAACAAACATATACCAGCAAAAACCTGTAAGACCAAAGATAAGAACCCATGGATTACACGGGAAATAAAATCACTCATAAGGCGAAAAGACCGAGCATATAAAAAGAAAAAGAAATCAAACCATCCTGACGATTGTGCAAGATTCAAAGAACTGAAAAAGACAGCAC